AGTCTCCCGTTGGTCTTTGTTATTGTTTGGCTTGGACGAGAAAATTGGTAATAAGGAAATTGACATCGACAAAAATAGTTAATTTTTGTTTTGACTTATTATTATGATGCAGATAAACTGCAATTCAATCGATAACTTGAAAATCAAACACAAATTGAATTAACGTTCATGAAACGCGGATCCAAATCTCATCTGCTGAGTTCACAAGAAACTCTAGCCAACAATGAGTCCACCATTGTCACACAACACAAGAAATTCTAAGAAAAAGATACCAAAACAATTCTCTGATTAAATTCCTTCAAATGATCTTAAACTCTGTTTATAGCTTCACGTCCTCTTCTCCTTCAACCAACGCACCAATCAACAGCTGCCAACTCATATTTCACCTCTCAGCCAATCATCTTTCATCATCTATCCACGTCAGCTCCTCTTCATTTTCCCTATAACACATTATATCACTCTTGTGAATATTCTTAAAAAAATTATAATGAATATTGTTCATATAAATAGAAAAACAAAGAAATCGACTAAAGTTACAAAATAAATTGCTTATTAAATTATATTCAGATTTAAAAATAAATAAAAACATCTTTCTTCGGTCGGTAGATTAGTGTAGAGCAACCAAAGGACAGACCAATCCTCGTTGCCAAACAGTCTCTTCATTTGTTTTTGTTTTTAATAATTTTTCTTGTGCTCAACTTTACTTTCCGAACCATCGATGGACCGGCCGGAGACGATCGCCGTCAAATACGAACCCATGACCGCTGACTCTCCTACCACTGCTCGACCTCCTAAGCTTGTAGTTTTAGCTGACCTCAACTTCAATCCTCCTGAGAATGACGATCTTGACTCATCCATTCAAATCCCTGCTCCTCCCATCACTAGGTATCCATTTCTGCTTCTACAGAGTTGTGTGTGTTTACTTTCTTCTTTCTATTGCTTTCGACTAACTTTGTTTTTTAGCTGAGATTTTTTTCCTCTGTTCGGAAGAAAACATTAAAAAATAGTTGTCTTCTCATGCCGTAAATCTAAAAATCGAGACTTTGGATATCGTTGATTCTTATTGCTTTGGGTAGGAGAAGCTCAGAGAGTTTATCTTGAAAGATTAATTCTTTAGGGTTCTTAAATTCTTGTACAATTATGTCAAGTTGGGCTGAGCTAGAGATATGGGAAAGATGTGGCAAACTAAAGTCTATTTATTGAGTGAAATGGTCAACCAGCTGATAACTGATAAGAGTTGGAACGTTCAGTTTGTGTAGTTTTGTTTGGGTTCGTATGCCCAAAAAGGTCTTAACACCAATGAATTCATTTGTGTGTTTGTAGGTTGACTAACGAGGAAAGTCATCAAGAGGGAGATACATTACCGTGCAAGGATGTGGAACCAGGAGAAGTAGAAGCCAAAAAGATCAGCAAGGTCGGAAAATGCCGCTCGAGAAGTAAGATTGAGCCTTCCTCTGATTGTGGACTTGATGCAGATGGTGATCAGGCTAATCAAGGGGTCCCTGCATCCCGGGAAGAAAAAATCAGTAACCTCAAAATGGTGAGTTTATTGTCTCATAGTTATGTTACAAAGTTTGCTTGGTCTTTTTTGCGGATGACCTGATCAAAATACCCTTGGTATCATTTTTAATTGAACATGGTTTTTCTTACGCCAAAAAGTTCAACCCCTTTCCAGAAATAAGCCGATCATTAAAGTCATATTGAGGTAACCAACATTTAAGACTTAGATGGGGACTAGGATTTCATAAAGTTGCCAAGAACATTGCTTTCTTCATTAAACATTTGGAGAAAGAATGATGATGTTGCTCTTAATTTCATAATGCTAACCCCATTTGATTATTGGTCTAATGTTTCATGATGATGATGCTCTATATTAAATTCTGATTACCCTTTTCTGCTTATAGGGGTTGATTCATGTTGCAAGGAAGATGCCTAAAAATGCTCATGCCCATTTTATTCTTGGTCTAATGTTCCAACGATTGGGCCAACCTCAAAAGGTAGGCTTGAGCTGAGGCTACCCTGATATGTCTCAAAATAACTATCATCTTATTGATTTTAACTGCTAGAAGGTTTTAGGCGATACCAGAATATGAGAAGGCTGAAGAGATCTTACTGGGTTGTGAGCCAGAAATTGCTCGGCCAGAACTTCTCTTGTTAGTTCAAATTCACCACGGACAGGTGATGACCTTTATGTCTGAACCAAATTTCATATTGAAGTCTTGTATTCGAGAGCTCCTTATTTTATTGAAAATTCACACGAAGGTTTTAACATTGTACACTTGAAACATTGTAGTGTCTTCTTTTGGATGGTTTTGGGGATACTGACTCTGTTAAAGAGCTTGAGGGAGAAGAGCTTGAAGAAATTCTTTCAAAATTAAAGGATTCTATAAAGTTAGATGTTAGACAGGCAGCCGTGTGGAATACCCTTGGCTTAATGCTTCTCAAAGCTGGTTGTTTAATGGTAAAATTCTTCACCATGTTGGTTGATTACCAGTGTGATTCCTTTTGTGATATAGTTTTGCTTTGTTAATTTGTAGAGTGCTGTATCAGTTTTGTCATCTTTGTTGGCTCTTGTTCCTGACAATTATGATTGCCTTGCAAACCTTGGAGTTGCTTATCTTCAAAGGTGAGGAGTTTTCTTCCCCTCAATTGTCTAACTATTATCGTGATACTTCTCTCTAATGAACAAGTCTTCCAGTGGCGATATGGAGCTTTCAGCAAAATGTTTTCAAGATTTGGTACTGAAAGACCATAACCATCCTGCCGCTTTAATAAATTATGCTGCCGAGCTTCTCTGCAAACACAGTTCAACTGTCGCTGGTTTGTTTCTTATCAGAGAACCTCTAAATTGTTTTCTCCTCTCAATTTGCCTAAGCAAAGCGCACATGAAAAAGTAGAGGAAATCTATCTTATGTAAACTGTATATTCACTGGTAACCTGTGAATGTGTTTTCAACTGATGTCAGGTGCCGGGGCTAATGGTGGTGCTGATACTTCTGAAGATCAGAAGGCACCTATGAATGTCGCAAAGGAATGTCTCTTGGCTGCTCTAAGATCAGATCCAAAGTCTGCCCATGCGTGGGTGAATCTTGCTAACTCATATTATATGATGGGTGATCACAGAAGCTCTAGCAAATGTTTGGAGAAGGTGCTCTTGGCTCACTTCTTTGTTTTGAGGTTGTTCATTGTTTTCCTTATCTTAGACAGAAGGGTTTCTTGTAGTTGATTTCCTTTTCACCTTTTCTAAAGTAATGCACAATAAGTATCAGGAGTCCTGCATATCCTACCCATTCTTCATATGTTAACTTGGGAAGACTAGGGTGGACGATGTTCCTCTGAATGGGTTGGGGACATCTACCTCTTATCATAGATTAGAAGAAAACCTTGGTCTGAATATTCTCGTTTTTGCCAAACATTTTACTTGTGGTTTTGTGTCCATGTTTCAGTTTCTATTGCAATAGGCATAGATTCAACTAAAGATGCATAGGAGAAAGAGACTTGTGTAGCTTAATTATACCCTGTCCAAATGATCCATTTGACCTTGATGGTGGCTGTTTAAAATGTAACCCTGGTTGTGTGATAGAAAGATTCTGGCTGTAAACTCTTTGGCTTACACTGCAGTCTTGGTTAAGGTTGACTGACTTGACCTTTTTTTATTCAGGCAGCCAAGCTTGATCCCAACTGTATGGCTACTAGATTTGCTGTTGCTGTCCAACGAATCAAAGATGCAGAAAGGTCTCAGAATGCAAGCGACCAGCTTTCATGGGCTGGCAACGAGATGGCTTCAGTGATAAGAGAAGGAGAATCTGTTCCAATTGACCCTCCCATTGCTTGGGCAGGGCTTGCCATGGCTCACAAGGCACAGCATGAAATTGCAGCTGCCTTTGTTGCTGACCGAAATGAATTGACAGAGATGGAAGAGCGGGCTGTGTACAGCTTAAAGCAGGTATACCGTTTCTGCGATTCGATGCTTAATAAGTTAGTTTCAGATGTTGCATTCAAATAATAACTAATTGGGTATAATAGGAGGAAAACTGAAGAGATTTGACTATAGATGAAAGACTGATTTCCTGAAATAAGTCAATAAGTCATTGGCACTTCTGGTTTGGTTACACAAATAGATAATGGAGAGATATTGTCACATCAAAAAACTTTTCATCTTATTATTCTCTTTTGTTCACATTAGGCAGTAACAGAGGATCCTGAAGATGCTGTCCGGTGGCATCAGCTCGGTCTTCATAGTCTCTGTTCTCAACAATATAAACTCTCACAAAAATACATCAAGGCAGCAGTTGGTCGTTCTAGAGAATGTAGCTATGCATGGTCAAATCTCGGTAACACCACCTTCAAATCAATGCTTGCAGATTAATCATATTGCTCTAAGCATTAGGAGATCGATGGTTCCACAATCTTAAGTTCGTTGCATAATTCTTATGTTAATTTCATGTGTTGGCTTTTAGGTATCTCGCTGCAGTTATCAGACGAACATTCAGAAGCCGAGGAAGTATACAAACGAGCCTTGGCCGTGTCAACAGAGGATCAAGCTCACGCGATATTCTCTAACCTCGGGAACCTCTACAGACAGAAAAAGCAGTACGAAGTCTCCAAGGCAATGTTCTCAAAGGCGTTGGAACTCAAACCGGGTTATGCACCTGCATACAACAACCTTGGACTTGTGTTTGTGGCTGAACGCAGATGGGAAGGAGCTAAGTCCTGTTTCGAGAAAGCCCTTGAAGCTGATTCATTGCTAGATGCAGCACAGTCTAACTTGCTTAAAGCCACAACCATGTCAAGGCTCTGTACTTGCTTCTCTTCTTCAAATGTTGTTCGAGATTCCTGATGCTCTGTAATACTTCTTGTTTCGTTTCGTGGGTGCACAACTCTCACATTATGTCTCAAGTACAACGACACTAAAAATCGGCGAGTGGCTTTAAGTCTAGAGAAACATTTGCTATTCTTCCCAAACACAAACTGTCTGAGGTTTAGTTTGACAGTAATGTAAATTGAAGTTTAATTTTTATATATCCTGAATTAATATAGTAAAGACAAACAAATGTAAAATGTTACAAAGAACAAAACTCTTTCACCCACTTGAGGAAAAGAGAAATAACTTATGATCTGGAGAATTCTCCAGAGCTATCCATTATTAAGTACATTGCCAAATACAAATCAAAAAGGACAACAAAAAAAGTATTCTTGTTTCTTCAAACTCCTTCCTCAGCCCATCATCTACAAAGAGAGTTGACATGGTTACTTCAAGACATGAGATATATGCAGATCATGTATATTTAGCGATTTAATTTACCTTGAAGATGTCTCCAAACATTCCTTGCAAAGGATTCTTACGCTGCACACCGTAAAACCTCTCTGCAATCTCGTCCAGCAACTTCAAAAAATATTTCCGGGTTTTCATCAGAAGTGAAAGAGAAACATATCGAATCAACAAGGGTCAAAACATGTAGAGACCAAACAAAAAGGTTGCATATTGTTGAAGAAACTAGGGACCAGTAACTAACAACTGTATACCTCGTTAAGCAGCTGATCTCTATCTATGCTTGACTTATATTTTACTCTTAACATATTGAAAAGAGGCAACGCATCCCTCTGCAACCTGTATTGGGTAACAAATTTCTTTAGGTAAACAACAACGAGCAGAAAAGACTAAGGGAAGAAGAAGATCTAAGTAGGTAACTAACGTTTCCAGAAGATATGAGATAAATTGGATAAGGTCTGATTCTGAAAGCTCGGGATATTTTGTCTCCGCTTGTTTCTTAATCTCATCCATCATAAAGTTTGCATCTTTCATGTTACCCATAGATAAGTACCTATCATGCAAAAAAAGAAAAATCAATCTCTTTAGTTCCTTTCAAATTCTGATATCTCTGTATCCAATTATAAAGCATGAACTTACATGAGAACTGCTCTTGCAATTGCGAGGTCATCTTCTCCGGGATAACACTGTAAAGTAGTATTCAAGTAAGAAAACACATATTTTTGGCCACGAGAGGTTACATTGAAATCCAGAAATTTCTTGAATTTCTATCCCAGTGCAAAAACTACTCTACACTGAAAGTAATGACTAATATAGAAATCAAGAGATGAGACAACTAGAAACGAAGAGACTGACCCTTCCCATAAAGTTGACCAGCATAGATGCAAACTTCTCAGGGTCCTCAGCTCTAACAAAATGTCGGGATATCCGGACCATATCCTGCGAGAAATATATTAAAAATCGATTTAATGAAGAAAGATGAAATGTATAACTTTACAATAAAAAATGGCTACAAGAGGATTACAAGTTCAGGACACTCGGTGTAGAGATAATCACCCAGCATAGCATGCAACTCAGGATAGCCAGTACGTGGGCCTCCAAACTCTGCAGACCATCTAAAAGAAAGAAGAAACAGCACTATGAAAACCATGGACAATACCAGTTGAATAAGTGAAATACTACACCTGCTCTGGCTTACTTTATAGCAGCTCTCAAGAACGAAGTCAAGTTTTCTACTCGTGATCTGGCTTCCCCAAGAGATTCTTGAAGATTTTGGACATCTTCATCGTCACTCACATCTACCAAATGAGGTGGTACAGGAACCCGAGGAAACAATTTGAAAATACACCTGATACGATCTGACGGAAATATTTCAGTATAACCGAAAACTGCAATAGGTCGAAGCAATTATATGTGAATTCGAACAAACCAAGAGCTTCATCGTTGCAAGGAGACTTGGCTTTAACTAGTGTATCGACAAACAAAATAGCAAGGTCCGCCCCACAATTCACCTGCAAAATTTCTGTTTTAATAAGAAATTACCTCAACCAAACTGAACAAAAGTGCACAAGAAGAAACAAAGATTCTGCCTTGTTAAAGTTTTTGATTACATGTCCCTCCAGATTCCAAGTACAACTATATGCATAAAGAATAATATAGAAGGAAAGGAAACAAACCAGGCCGTGTTCTAGTTCAATGCAAGCCCCTGAAAAGAGGATATCAAGAGCTTCAGAGAATCTCTGAGCCGTGACATATCTGCAAAACCAAAAAGGCTAATCCTTTATCAATCCGAACATATGTATGAACCAAATAAGAAGAAACAAATATCTGCGAATTGATAATGAAAAATCCAATTTTTTTAACCAATTACCAGAATTCAAAAAAGGGTCAATGCAGAATCAAGCAATAAGCAAAAGGAATGGAGCTAACGAACCTTGCACTGATAGATTTATACATCTGCAAAGCTCCATAGTAATTGCCTTCCTCTACCACTTTCCGCAATTTATCAATATGCTTTAAGAATTAATCAAAAACATAAGGATCTGTGTTATCTCTAATCGAGTGAAATTAACCAAATTTGAGAAGAAGAAGGAAAGCAGATGCGAGTAGTGGTACCTCTTGAACGGGAGGTAATTCACGTTTGATCCTCTCTCGAGACATGGATCTCAAGGTTTTGATGTTTTCTTCTTCAAATCTATGTTGGTTACTTTTGCAGCAGATTGATAAATTATCCCAAGTACGGAAACTAAACAGAAACTTTGTCAGCTACGTGCGTCTTGCAGATTTACCCTAATTTAAAAAAAAAAAAAAATTTCACCCAAATTTTAAGTTAAAAAAAGGGAAACAGAATTTTTATTTTTGTTGGTCAAAGAAAAACAGAAAATTCAAATATTCAATTCCAAATTTATGGAATTTCTTTAGTTATTACATATCTTAAAGCAAAAGTTGATGCCAAGAAAAAAAAAAGAGAGGAAAAATTAGAAAGAACTTCCCTGCACCAAAAAGTTTTCCCATTTGTTCATTTTTTAAGTTCCAATTTGTTTGATGAGTTTTGTATATATATTTTTTACTAGCCAGTTCAATTTACAGGAAACTAGTATATATGCTGTTCCAGTTATTCACTCGTATATAAAAGTTGATCTACTAACATGTGATCTAGAAATTCGTTGCATATATATTGGCGTAATAACAAAAGAAAGTTGATCTAGTAACTTAATGACAGATTGTATAGCCAAATTATAAAATTTCTTGTGAATATAGGAAATTTACAAATAACTTTGTTTTGTAGACCCTTGACAACGATCAAAGATGGTTAGAGAAATGTTTACATATCATAGATGAAACCATGTGAATTTGTTGTACGAATACAATCTCTTCTTGGCGTCAATTTATCTATCCCCTAGTATTTGTTTGTCATGCTTGACATGTTTCAACAATAATTGACATTATTCCACCACCATCTCATATTCTCATTTCTTAATAAACACATTACAAATATATATATATATATATATATATATATATATATATATATCAGATCACTACGACATTGAAGCGTAAACAGAACAATCATTATATCAAAATACTTTAGTTTGGGAATACAAACATCCGAAAATAAACAATCCGGAAATCAATAATTAGTACGTAACGCAATCCGGAAAAAACTTCTTTAAGTGTAGTAGACACATGAGCCATTACTTGGGTCGATAAAAACAAAACAACCGGTACGGTCGAACCTACAAGCATCTTCGGTACGACCATGGCTTTGATAATAAGCGTTCATGGCAAACGACGCATGGTTGAATAACGTGTTAGGGTCATAGCAAGTTCCACCAGGTTGGATCGGTGTACAGTCAACATTCTGGCTACAAGCAAAATCAATATTAGCTTGTAATTGTTCGTCTCTTGCAGTCGGCATGGCCATGCACCATTGTCTGCTAGTCACGACAGGGATCGCAACAGCAGATAGAAGAAGAAAGAGCGTTAGAAGCTGCGACAACATTGAATGAGAAATAAAGAAATGTTAATATGTATTTTGTAAGAATGTTTTGTTTATCGTTCAATGTGCTTACAAGGTTTCTTATATAGAGATACAATGGAGAATCATCTAGAGCTATAACCAAAGATTTCAAGGGCTGTGATTATGGAATCACGATGATATGGAAATTACGTATTGAGAAAGTTTTCTTTAATTTGTTGCTTACGTTATTGCAGTTACATGGAAAATATACAAAAAGACTTTTCCACACAAGACTAGATTCTCTCTCGCTACTTTTGTACTTATTTGGGAAAGGACTTGACGAGAGAGAACTAGAAGATTTAATAAATCAACAAAATAACTCTCTATAAATTATTCCATTAAAATCGCAATTTTCATATGCAATTTTTTATATTTATAATTTAGTTTGGGTATACACTATACCAAAATAAAATACATATTCAAAATAAACAATCAATAGCACAATCTTAATACACTCACAAAGAGTTTTCTTTTTTTTTTTAAGTGTAGTAGATACACGAGCCATTACTTGGATCGGCAAAAGTAAAACAGCCAGTACGGTCGAACCTACAAGCATCTTCGATACGCCCATGGCTTTGATAATAAGCGTTCATGACATACGACGCATGGTCGAATAACGTGTTAGGGTCATAGCAAGTTCCACCAGGTTGGATCGGTGTACAATCGACGCCGTTGCTGCAACCAAAATCAATGTTGGCTTGTAACTGCTCATCTGAGGTACCAGGCATCGCCATGCACCATTGTCTGCAAGTCACGACGGGGATAGCGACAGTTGATACGAGAAGAAGAAGTGTTAAAAGTTGCAACGACGACATTGGAAATGGTAAAGGATTCAATAGTTTTTATGTGTTATCTTTTCGTGCAAGGGCATGTATATATATACTAGGGAGAGATAATTAGAAGAAGTAATACATTAAAAAAAAGTACTCTCTAAAGATTATTCCATTAAAAATATTATGATATATTTCTTATTATAATCATTTTGTAGATCTTTTGATATATCATATTTAACTAGATATCTTTCAGTTATGGATATAATTTTTAAAAATTGATGAGTTATAAATAACTATATACAACTAACTCAAATATTTATTTTAATGAAAAAATAAACATTTATAAGCTACTTTAAAACATTTTAGTTACGGATTTGAACAAGATTGAATTGGTGGGGTAGTCATTGTTTGGTTAGAATGTAATGTATGCCTCTATGAAACCTATATTTTTTTTTGAAAAAAAGACACCTATGAATATATTAAGTGAGTTACATTTAGAGAACATTACATACGAATGTGTGACTTTAGGTGAAAGCGCGTCATGCAACTTGAAATTTTATATCAAAACGATATTTGCTAAGTTCACCAGAAAATAAGATTGTTGACAAAAATAATTTTACTATCCCCCGGTTACAACTAAGAAATGGACCAACATAAGAAGTAGGAATTTCGAAAGTTGATCATTGCAAATTCCCATGGGCCTCCAAACATTATGAGAAGTCATTGACAATGCCCTAAGTAGACAGAAGGTTGACTTCGTAGAAATATATATATATATATATATATATATATATATATATATATATATATATATGTGTTGAGATAAAGGTCCGATTTCAAAGTAGAGGAGGTTCAATGATGATGAAAGACGTACGCTTTGGTGCTTACACAAAGACCAAAGTCCTAGTTTAAATGTGAATGAGATTGATGCTGAATTCTTGATGAAAAGTCTTTATGTAATATTGAGACCCCTAATTTATAGAGATAAGGAGGTTTGGCGCTGATTAAGTATTCTTGAGCGATGTTTTTGTCTTTTAATTAGAATTGTTAAAGCATTGTTATACCATCTTATATTGCTAGCCTACCTATATAATTAATATTGCGACCCCTAATCTACAGAGATGAGGAGGTTTGACGCTGATTAAGTACTCTTGAGCGATGTTTTTGACATTTTGTCTTTGAATTAGAGTTGTTAAAGCATTGTTATACTATCTCATAGTGCTAGCCTACCTACCACATAGAAAATTGTATATATTTTCACCAAAACATTAAGACATTAATTGTTTTCGTCATCATATAATCTCTTCTATTGGACGTTTGTAACCTCACTATGTTCAAACTGACATAATGACAAACAAAGCCGGTCCAGAGTTTCACAAGGCTATACAAGCCGGTCCTATTTAATGATTTTGTTGCTAAAAAAAAAAAATTTGTTTACGCCGTTCTCAAAGTTCAAATTCATATACAGGTGATACAACCATTGAATTTTTAACCACAAGAACTTATCTTTAATTTGGCCGAAACTAAGCGATACTATTAGCGGCTGCAAGCCTATGCTTTGCCGGCTTGGCCTTATGGCCGGCCCGATGACAAAATTAGACTCTTGTATAATGAAATTAACTTATATATATAGAGATTAATTAGAGAAAACTGATGGATAGATTCTTTTTCAACTTATTTAACTGGAGTTTCGGCCAAACAAGTTCCCACACATACATGTTAACCGGAAATTAAAATGCTAATAAGATACGTATACACACGAGCCATGGCTTGGGTCGGTATAAACTTCAATGCCAGTGTTATGGAAATTGCATTGTGCCTTGGTGGCACCAAGGTTCTGGTAATACAAGTTCATTGCGAACGACGCGTGGTCTCTTACCGTGTTTGGTTCAAAGCAAGGTCCACCGGGATTGATCGCTCCACAGTCACGGAATCCTCCTTCGTCGCTGCAAACCCAATCTATATTCGCTTGTAATTGCTTATCTGTCCCTTTGTCATTCGCTATGCACCATACTCCTTTGTTTTCAGCCGCCCGCGAGAGGTTTCTTAGTGTGGCGTTCACAGATACGGTGGATACGAGGAGGAAGAAGAAGAGCGTCAATGGTAGAGATATCGTTTTTGTGACCATTATTGCTTATACGTACGTAGATTGATATTTGTTTATAGAGTAAACATTTTATGTGTTTGTGTCTATATATACAATAAATGAAACGGTAATAAGAAGAAAATAAGGTTTTGTAATAATTAATGCAAAAATATGTAATATTCTCTCATTTGTTTGTCTTGTAGTGTCATGTATATATAGAAGAAAATCCAATATCGTTTAATGCATCATTTAAGAAATCACATTTTCTAGCAATGTAACTGACAATGTCATTTTCAACTTTCTTGACTCTTTTTTTGTCACATCCTCGTAACTGACAATGTAATTCAACTTTCTAGACATTTTTTTGGTCACATCCACGTAACTGCAATGTAATTCAACTATCAGTCCACTTATCTCTAATCGATAAGCCACAACGTGTGCTCCTTTCCAAGGGAATACTCTGGTCGTCGTGCTAGTTTGAAGATTCCACAACTTCTTTTTCATAGGATTAATCGAAATTTTAGCCTCTGTTTTTTTTTGTCAGAGTCCAGCAAGAAGAATCTTTCCTATTTGCATCAAGTTTAATGTGTATAATCACCTACACATCTTTGAAAAGCTCTTTCAAGATATATGTAGGTTCATCTCATGAGTTGCGTTTATGAAGTTCTTAGCCATTAATACAAGTATCGATCGAGATGTACTTAAAATGATTCATCAACAACATTTGAGAAATATGGAGATATTCTATAAGTTGAGAATTAATATACTCCAATAGTTACATATTAACTTATATATAGATTAGAGAAATTTGATGCATACATAGTATTTTCAACTTATTTGAAGATTCGGCTTAATAATTTACCACACATATACATCATATATGTATATATTAATAAGATATGAAAATACACGCGCCATGGCTTGGGTCTTTACGAACCTGGGTGCCAGTACCGTTGAAAGTGCATTGGTCTTTGGTGGAGCCAAGATTCTGGTAATACAAATTCATTACGTACGACGCGTGGTCTCTTAGAGTATTTGGTTCATAGCAAACTCCACCAGGATTGATCGGTGTACAATCGCGGAATCCTCCTTCGTAGCTGCAACACCAGTCTATATTCGCTTGTAGCTGCTCATCTGTCGCTTTATTATTCGCCACGCACCATACTCCTTTGTTTTCAGCCGCTGGAGAGAGGTTTCTTTGTGTTGAGGTTACGGAGACGGTAGATACAAGGATGAAGAGGAGGAGTGTCAATGATAGAGACATTGTTTTTGTTTTTGTGACCATTTTTGCTTGTATATGGTGGATGATTTGATTGATATTTGTTCAAGAGTATATATGATTGATATGTGCTTGTGTTTATATATACTATGTCTGTATGTCAAACGGTGATAAGGTAAAAAAAAAAAGGCAAAAGGTTTTGTAAAGATATCTATTATTAAAATTTGATTTTTATTTTGTTTTATGTATTATAAATAAAAAAATTTGAAAGGTAGATTAAAATCTAATAGAGTTTAATGAACCATTTATGAAATCTGACCTTTTTCTTAATTTATTTTATAAATAGGATCTTATCTTGATAAAATGATAATTGTTGCTTGACACATCAACACTAGTATTATGATGATTTTCCGAGCGATTTTTGATGAATTTTATCAACTAGAAATTTCCGACTGATTTTCGGCAAATTCAAATTTCGTTAAGAATTGGTCGAAAAATCGTAAACAAAATTCTGACGGATTTTAGCTTCTTATACATGGTTCAAAATCCAAAAGATTTGAAACACAATTGAAGAATTGAGAGTCTTAAAACCCTTAATTTGGCCCCTCTAAATGGTTTACCAAATCCATTACATCTGAAAATTCGTTGTTTTAATATATGTTGCCAATGAATCAAATTCTATTTAACTATTAACAATTTTCGAAAAACTACATTTTCTTATTTGAAAAAAAGGAATCAAATTTACTTATTTCCTAATATATGATTGTTTAATTCCGCTCGTTGTTTCTGGTATGATATTTACCCACGGTCAAAATTCTACTATACTATTTAGTGAAGAGACGCGAATGAGGAGACAACTTCAGGGTCTAAATTAGTTGTCGTTTTAAGGTAATAATGTAATTTATGCCAATAACTACCCAAATTACCCTCATTTTATTAAACACAAATTATTTGTAAATAATTACTTGTCATTTTTATGAGGTTAATATAATCATTGTATACCTTTTCTTAATTTGTCCAAATACAATTAAAACGACAACTTTTAAAAAACAGAGGGAGTACTATTTAGTGAAGAGATGCGAATGAGGAGACAACTTCAGGGTCTCGATTGCAATTTATATAAATATCTTGCTTTTGAAACTAAACTATCAATTATTACACTTTTGGGACACAGTTTCTGTCTGATTCTCACATTATGTCGCTTTACAAAAAGGACAAAACTACCCATCAAACCAAAAACGCGAATTGGTTTCTTCTTCTTTGGTTCTTCTTCCTTTTTTTTCTTTACCCTCTCTGATTTGATCTTCTCTTCTCGGTTGAAATTAGGGATTTCTGTAAAATTGTAATGTGATTTTGAGTAAATCATGAGCAAGCCCGAAGATATTTCCTACCCGAATCCAACCGGACCCGATCCGTCTCGATCTTCCTCCGATGAGGTCACCGTCACCGTCGCCGATCAGGCTCCGTCTGATCTCAATCACGTTTCTGAGGAGCTAAGTGATCAATTCAGGAATGTGGCTTTGGATGATTCTGCGAAAGAGCTGAGTGTTCCGATTAGTGTCAATGTAGAAACGGATTCGAGGGCAATAGGCAGCGATCAAAAGGAGGAAGAAGAGCGTGAGAGTATGATTGAGAAGAGAATGATGGTGGTGTATCCAGTGAGACCTGACGCAGAGGATTGTTCGTTTTATATGAGAACAGGAAGCTGCAAATACGGATCAAGTTGCAAGTTCAATCACCCTCTTCGAAAGAAACTTCAAGTACTTTTCTTTTACCTCTTCAATCATATTTGCATGTTTTAATTCTCAATTTGTCACCGAAAGTTTTAGTCTTTTTTGCTCTCCTGACATTGATGTTGATTCTTAATTGGGGTTTGTCTATTGAACCAAAAGGGGAAAGCTTGATTTAGAATTTATGTTTTAAGTTTTGAGTTTGCTTCGTTTTCCATTGCTCTGCTGTTTTGGTTGAGGATTTGAAGTTTTTAGGGAGTATAAGAACGAGAAAGGGAAAAGGACTATGTTAATTTAAACGAAAATGATCTTTTTGTATCTTTTTTTTTTTTTATATTCTAATGTTGTGTTATTTGGAAGATTGGTAGGGAGAAAGTAAGGGAAAGAGACGAGGATGTGGAGAATCCTAAGCTGATGGAGTGTAAGGTTAAATGTTCTTCCTTTCCTCTGTATTGGCTTAGCAAGATTACATTATTTTCTTTCTGTGTATCATCCCTTATGTTACTATGCTCACAGTTCGTTCAAACATCTAACACTTGTATGCAAGTCTGGTCATGTTATTGGCTTTGGTTGTGATTAGGTTTTAGTTTTGCTGAATTTATGTTTTAGTTTTGAATTTATGCTTGATTTTTTAGGTGCTTGGTTTGTAAAAGGTGGATGATAAGTGGTCGCCTTTTCCATGTCTGAGTATTGCTGTTAGCTTGAATTGAATTAATTATCACGGCTTACGTACATAGACATATCGTTCTCTAATTTTCTATGGGAAGTGCACTATTTAGCCTCTTCTTTTTGTGTTGTATGTGTTTGTTCTCTTCTATTATTCCCCTTTTTCATTTGAAAGAAAGTCTGTCTACTGATATCCTGCCCCTAATTGCGAGGTTTGCAGTACTACTTCAGGACTGGAGGGTGCAAATATGGAGAGTCTTGTAGATTCAGCCACATGAAAGAACATACTTCTCTGGCCTCAGGACCAGACCTTAACTTCCTTGGCCTTCCTATCAGACCGGTATTCCATTAATCGGTTTATACAGTTCTAACATTCTGTTTCCAACAGCCTTATGGAAAAGCTATAATAGTATAAGCTGTTGACAGGGAGAGAAAGAATGCCCTTTCTACATGCGCAATGGCTCCTGCAAGTTTGGATCTGACTGCAAATTTAATCATCCTGATCCTACGGCTATCGGAGGAGTTGATTCTCCCTTGTTCCGTGGTAATAACGGTGGACCCTTTTCCCCAAAGGCCCCATCTCAAGCAAGTTCAACTTCTTGGTCTTCAACGAGACATATAAATGGTACTGGTACTGCTCCTTTTATTCCAGCCATGTTCCCCCATAATCGTGGAGTTTCACCTCAAGCTTCAGAGTGGAATGGGTATCAGGTAGTTAACTTCAGCTCTGCCTCTGCATTACTAACTTTGTTGCATTTTTTCTTTTATGTTGATAAAACTATAGTACTTTACTTTTGAAGTTTCTCATTTTTATTGGTGTATAGGCGTCTTCTGCCTATCCACCAGAAAGGAGTGTGCTTGCTCCTTCCACATACCCGGTGAACAATTCATTGGCTGAAACTAGTTCATTCTCACAATACCAACACCAGATGCCTGGTGAGGAATTCCCAGAACGCCCGGATCAACCAGAGTGCACTTATTATCTTAAAACTGGGGACTGTAAGTTCAAATATAAATGCAAATACCATCATCCGAAAAATAGATTGCCAAAGCAAGCTCCATTCTCTTTCAATGACAAGGGCTTGCCCCTAAGACCTGTGAGTGTTTTTTTCCCGCCCATGCTGTTCTTTTGTGCTAGTATTAGGAAGCCACTTGAGAAATGTTGTTCGTAAAAATGAATTTCTTTCCTTCTTTCTGATGTATAGAACTTGATCTTCCTGGTGAATTTGATTCAGGACAAGAATTATGATCGATTACTTATTCACGCTTTAAACTCTTTTTCCTTGATTTCCTTATACTTTCAGGATCAGAGTATGTGCACACACTACAGCCGATATGGCATCTGCAAATTTGGTCCAGCTTGTAGATTTGATCATTCCATACCGCCTACATTCTCGCCCAGCAGCTCCCAAACCGTAGAAGCTCCTCAAGGTGGCGCTAACGGAAATGAAGATGACAGCTGGCATTGACATCACATGTTCAGAAGCCTGCGTAAGGGATACTTTTTTTCTTTACCATCATAGGCTTTTCAGTTCTTAGGATCAAACTCTTCTTTTGGCTTTGGAGTTTATAAAAACATTTAGGTAAATTATAGTCTCCAAACTACATCTATCTGGCAAGTCTGATGCTTGTTTACAGAATTCTCACCCAATAACTTTTCTCTCCCGCTTTAACTGTAACTATCTACTCTTTCACTAAGGTTCAGTCTAATCGAAGCATGTTCTGTTTATGATTTGTTCTTCTTCCATTGGTGGCTCTCCTCTGAAATAATTTTCCTGGATATCTGCCTGGTTTTGTTCATATCTGAATCTCACAACAATTGCTAGAACGGAGAACCAAAAAACGACATTATATATGTACATAGATTGTTTTGCTTACTTCTATGTCAGGACACATGTTTCTGCTATGATTTTCTGGTGCTGTGTCGTTAACCTCACAAGAGGGGTTCACTTTTCTGGAACCGGTTTTTTTTAGATAGATGGTGGGATCAAATCTTGTGATCCCAGTTTAAGCAGACTATGTTTCAGCATCTTTTGACGACAGATTCTTCTTCAGGTGTCAGCTCTGAAACGGCAATCTAACCTTCAGGTGTCTTCTGAAACGGCAATCTAAAGCTCGCGACTTCCTCTCAGTAAAATCGAATGTTAATTTTGTTAGGGTTTTAGAGAGGTGAAGCTATTGGAAGGATGTACAGAAGCCATGTTATGGTCTTGTTTCATCGATATGAATAATAGCTAATAGCATTATGTCTGCAAAGGACTATCTCTCAAAATCTTATTTCCATAGTTCTTAGATGGAGTCAAAAGATACAATTTATATCCATTGTGGGCAAAATGTTGGCAAACAAAAAAAAAGGAACAAAAAGTTTACTGAACAAGTATAATATCAGCAGAAGAGAGATGAAGAAAGCTGAGATGTATGGGTGTTTAACCCTTAACCCTTTTGTTTCACTTTGTTTAAGATCTCTCGGCAAAACTGCTTCAGCTTCCCTACCCCTCGGATTCTTCAGAAGATGGCAGGAATTAACGGAAGCAAAACCATTTGTTCTGCGCAGAAAACATAAATCAGGTAAGCAATCTGTGTTCTTGGATAAAGAGTTAAAAAGTTGAATGCAATGAGAAAAAAAGTAAACTACCTTAGCTTTTGGGTTTTGGGAATCATGGTGATTGTTTTGATCGGAGTTTTGGTTTCCCTGAGGTGAAACCAGACTATTAGGGCCAGCGCCGGATGCTTTCTTGGTCTTCTTCTCGTCACTAGCTTTGCTGAAAATGACTGTGAATCCTTCGGCTGATGCGGGATTGTTCACATCCCATTCCCCAAACTTTGGCAATGGCTTCCCTTTGTTTCCCTGTACCAAGAAACAGAGGATTCATTAGACATCAAGAAAGCTAGACACTTATTGGAAAAATGATCATCATGATGATCAAAGAAGAGAGATTTGAAGAGGTTGTTTGTTCTTACCGCCATTGTTGAGATCAAAGCAAAAGGAAATATCAAGATCTATTGAGAGAAAGAGAGAGTTGGGAGGAGAGAGAAGAGAAATGCAGTTGTAATATAGAGAGAGGAAGGAGAAACATAAGAGGGAAACACGTCGTCGTCGTTGACAACAGCATTAACCAAATCAAACCTTTTTTTTTTTTGTTGTTGTTGTTTACATTATACAACATTATTACACCTCTTCTTCTTTCCCGCGTAAATCCCTAACCGTACTACCTAAACAAATCATTTTCAAACAAAAATTAACAAAACATGATTAAAAAAAGTGTCAAGCATCCCTTAATACATTTTCCTCTAGAACGTGCGTTATAAACGTGGTATTGAGAAAGTCTTTTAAAGCAGATTTGTTTATTTTTTTAAAGCAGATTTGCTTATTAATGCTAATTAATGCCAATTATTTTCCCATTTTTTCAAAAGGCAAAACTGTTTTATTAAGATTTACAAGAAGTGTTTGGTAAAAATAGTAAAATGTTAATGTTCTTTTTTTTAAGATAAAACACAATACTTAACAAAAGTATAAGCACTTCAACTTCAATATGAATAAATCAAAAGGTTAATATGGAGACATATATATCCCAAAATTACCAATAATATCCTGCTAGATTATTTTATTTTAATTTTTAATTAGAATTGATTTTTAACTTGCTAAAAAGTTTTTGTTTCTATTTTTTTGTTTTTCCTGTGTTCGGTGCATCTTCTTAATTTGACATCGTTTTTTCAACTATAACTCGTATACTATAGTTACTGTCATTTTTCGCACTACAATGATCGTGGCCAGTTTTCATATTCTCGGATATTTTACGTACGAATCGACGATTTTTCGACGATTCGTCGAACTGATCGACATTTTTTCGAACATTCATCGTACTGATCGACAATTTCTCTAACAACGTAAATTTAATCAGGACCATCTATGAATTGCACGTAGATGGGCATGAACAAAACCATTATCAGTAACTTCGCTTGAAACACCGAATAACCGCCGGTAGCTAAGTAACGTAAAGCAAGATTAAAATCATGATCGGTCGTAATTAACAAAATGTTGGGAGGGAGTGTTCCACTAATAGCGCGACCCAACATTTGTTCAACCAAAACCGAGTCAGCCAAATCATACACTCTCTCAAATAGATCATCTTCACCATATCCTTCATCTCACACGTCACGACACTTAATAGATATGTGTGGTGGGGCTTGTATATGAACGGCTTTTTAAAGATAAACACAATCTTTAACTTAAAAATGTTAACAAAAGTATAAGCACTTCAACTTCAATATGAAAAATCAATCACTAAATTAAAAGGTTGATGGATATAAATATATCACAAAATTACCAATAATATCTTGCCATATTGTTTTATTCTAATTTTTCAGCCTCTTTCTTAGTTTTATTTATTTATCAATCGAAAAATTCTTATGAAAAACATATATATCTTAAAATTTTATTTTATCGTGTACAACTCACACACGCACACTACCAAATATAAATCTACATTAGCGTATTGTATTATAGCATAGGACACATGATTGTATAACAATCACATTCTGTAGTACAAATCATTGTATTTACATACCTCGATTACATGTATCCAATAATTTATCAATCCCAAAACAGTGGAAACTAAATTTGAGACATTTAGTACAAGCTAGAGCACAAGAATATGAGAATATTCCATCACTAAGTTCTGTAGTTTACTCTGGAAAATTAGGCCTAGCCCAGCCCAAGAAAGTTTCGTAACAAGAGAGATTTGGGCCTAGCCCAGCCCAAGAAAGTTATGTAACTAGAGAGAGTTGGGCCTAGAATGTCTGGAAATCCATCTGTTTGGATACAGTTATAACTCCATTCCCAATGGCCTAAACCCAAAACATTCACAAAATAGAAATTTTGCAGAAATCAAATTCTTGTCGCTAAAATCTCACAGCTCAATGGGAAGACTTTGTGAATCACTGCCCGTGATTCTTCTACTGTTTGCTCTTCTTCTCCATCAATCACTCTCTCAGGTATTTGAACATCACCTATATATATATATATATATATATTCATGATTTAGCGATTCATTATTCTTCTTCTGATCTATGAATCAATGAATTTTTCATGTTTTTACCCTCTCCATAGGGTTTTGAAGAATCTGAATCTACTAGGTGAATCTCTAGCAACTCCACTTGATTTAACTCTTGTCTCTCTATATAAAAACAAAACCTTTCAACTACTGTTGATTAGTTTGTGTAAGATTATTTCCAATTCTTTTACCAAAAAAAAAAAAAAAAAAGATTAAAGATGTAGCTCTCAATGTCTGATTATATGGATTTGTCTTGTCATGGAATATAGATTGGTTAACGAAGAAGTAGGAGGTAATTCTCCAGAAATACATTGTTCACGAGAAAGAAGCCGAGCAGCTTGGCAGATTATTCAAGATGTAAGTCGACAATGGTTGAATTTTTTCTCTTTCTTTTAGTTATAAATTTGATTGTTTTTATAATTTTGATTTTCTGCAGTATTTGACGCCGTTTGTGGAACGGGAAAGATATCAAATTCCAAAAAATTGTAGGCTTCATCCTGATAATGATTTATACAGAGATCAGGAACAGCATAAGATTCATGTTGATGTCTTCGAATGGAAATGTGGTTACTGCAAGAAAAGTTTCAATGATGAGAAATTTCTTGACAAGCATTTCACCACTAGACATTATAATCTTTTGAATACGGTATGTGGATTTTGTTACCGTGGTGGTTTCGTTCATATATTGCTAGATTTTGAGATTACTTTCTGGTTATGTGTTTCGAAAGCTGATACTAGAAAACTTATTTGAATGCCTCAGACTGATACAAAGTGTTTGGCCGACCTGTGTGGTGCATTGCATTGTGACTTTGTATTGAACTCTAAGAAACCGAAGACCAAGTGCAACCCTGCTGCTGTTGCCAAAAACCGTCATCTCTGCGAGGTTTCTTTCTTGGCTTCTCTTTCATTATTCTTTGCTTTTTCCGCTCTGGATCCATGACTTCTTTCTTATTATATTTACATAGTTAATTTACTTGTTTATTCCCTTTCTTGTTCATTTAGAGCGTTGCCAATAGTTGTTTCCCAGTGAGTCAAGGTCCCTCAGCTAGCCGTCTTCATGGTATGATTCCTTACTTAGAAGCCTTCGAAGTGAATATTTTCTCATTGAATACTAGATGATGTTTCTCAAAAAGTTTTTTGAAGTGTGCCCGAATCACTCTATTTGATTTTTACTTTTCATGATTGAAGAACACTTTTTGCGCCAATTCTGTGATGCTCATACCTGCACTGGAAAAGATAAACCGTTTCCTAGAGGAGGCAAGGTATGATCTATTGAACCATCGCAGTTACTTATGTGTGCTAAATGAGGTTGTTAATTATGTTTTAAAGCAAATCTGTTTTCGTTTGCTTCTTTTATGCTATCTGTTTCTGGTGGAAACCAGTATAAAGGAATATATCGTTTTCTGTTAACATCTTAGTCTATGCTAATTCGTGCAGAAGAAATCGGGTGTCTTCTACCTCGCCATTTCAATATTGACCTTGATGCTACTCCCACTCTTTTATCTTCTAGTCTTCTTATATCAAAGGTACAGTATGGTGTTACTTCTTCTTTTTTCCATCATTGTTTTATTCTACAGAAGTCTTTGGTCATTTTGTTGTTTCTATTGTCTTTTACAGAGAAAAGAGAAGCGGAACACAAGAGTTGCGTCGGATTAGAAAAACTGGAAGAAAACCAAAACCTTCATAATATCGTAATCCTCTCAAGCATTGGCTTTATTAAATATGTACAAACTTCATTCCCTAGACAGCCTGAGAATCTCGCTGTCGTATATCGAATCGTTTTCAGTTCCTAAAGGCTACCGTTTCTCTTAACATTTTGTACAGGTGAGCTTCAGACTGTTTATGAGAGAGCAGAAGGTGTTCAAATCCGATATTGGTTTGGTGAATCACCTCTTTCGCATTACTTCTCCTTCTCGAACCAGATACTTATGGATTCCCAAAAGAGAGTGTTTCGTTGGGGTTATGAAGCTAGTTGCTATGGATATCAGATGGATTACATAGAGATTGTAAGCTTGTAGAAACAGATGATTCCTTCCACAATATAGGAATAGTGATTAGATTTTTCTCTGTAATTTTATCGAATCTTCATACATATCAATGATAATATCCAGTTTGAAACACAATCTATAACAGTAAGGATGTATAAAAACAACCTTTTTTGTTAGTAGCTTTAAAGTTTAAGGAGCTACCACGCCAAACGCTAGAGATATCAACTCATTAGAGAGGAGGAAACCATCTGGATCTTTCAGTCTAAGGTACCTCACATGATCCTCAATCTCCACTTCATCATTTGCCACTAAGGTTTGGAATTCATCACTCATCACTTCGCTTCTCATATCATCCAAACAAACAATGTGCCCACTCTCCACATAAGGCTCATATACTTTACAGATCGATTTCACTACCTCGCTGCCAAAAGCTTCTCCAAACTCCTTAAGCTCAAGCCCTTTTGATGTTCTGAAAGATAACATTAGGATGTCTGTTGCGACATCCTTAAGATCAACATCACCGTTTCCACACCAATTTGCTGCGCCATTCTCCAAGTCGGCGACGTAGTTTGTGTATTCCTTAAGCCTTCTTGGCCTCGAAAACCTCAACCCTCCAACATAACTCGCTGAACCTAAACCGAAAGCATAGAATGGCTTGTTCTTCCAGTATTTCAAGTTGTGTTTGCACTTGAACCCATCTTTCGAGTAACTGCTGACTTCATAATGCTCATAACCCGCTCCACGGAGCATTGATGATGCTGTTTTATAAAACTCTGCAGATTGTGTTTCTGAAGGAAGAGGGGATTGTCCTGGAGTGTACCTACACAAGTTCATGAACCCAATTCGTTTCTGTTCAGCTTACAATCAAAATCTAAAGCATCAGTAAGCAAGCTTGGACTATGTACTTACAAGTTTCCAAACTTTGTGCCTTGTTCGACTTGCAGATCATATACAGAAACATGATTGGGCTGTGATTCGATAGCTAATCTCAAACTCTCTTCCCACATCTCCAATGTCTGGTGAGGCAGAGAAGATATAAGATCCATACTCCAATTCTCAACTCCACATTCTTTAACAAACTCTATTGCTTCATACACTTGAGAGACACCATGAGCTCTTCCACAAGCTTTCAAAAGCTCATCTTGAAATGCTTGAACTCCTAAAGACACTCTGTTCACTCCCAATTTCATCAATTCCTTCAGTTTCTGACCATCAAACGTGCCTGGATCCATCTCCATTGATATCTCAGCATCTGGACTCAACCCGAAATTCAAACTCAACGTTTCCAGAATCAAAGAAACAAGCTTTGGAGGAACAAGAGAAGGCGTCCCACCCCCGAAAAACACCGTCTCGAGATTCGGGTTCGTATCATAATCCGTTCTTGTCGCTTGTATCTCTCTAACAAGCAAATTCACATAGTTTGTGATACGTGGATCATCTTCTTTTCCTTCCTCGTAGACATTAGACGGACTGGTTAAAGAAGAAGAAGACGTGCCTAGAGCTAAGATTGGGAAGTCGCAATAATGGCAGCGTTTGCGACAAAACGGAAGATGAACGTAAGCCGAGGTTGGTGGACCTTGATGTAACGTAGTCAGATTGGTTGACGCATTTCGTCGAGCACTTGGTGGAGTATTTTGAAGAACAACCTTACTAAAAGCTTGAAAAATCAACCTCGAAGTCTTGGGTTTACACGTAAACGATGAGAAAATTGGAGAAATCGTTGTTTTCAGCATAATTCCAAAAAAAAAAAAACGAGAGAAAAAGAAAGAGAGAAGAGAGAAGAAGAGAGAAGCTTTCAAAGATCAAAGTTCACTGGTCTCGTTTATATGCTTAGAACGTCGTCGTTTTTAGTCAGAAAGTAGACTCACTTAAGATTTAACCACTCTAATTAACACAGTAATTAAAACTTATTATAATAGGAATAAAATGAATATTCATTCACGGACGGAAAAAAATGGCGCTAGAATCGATAGTTTCTCTCTCGGAGCTGCTCGCTTCCCTTCTCTCGTCGAAACCGCCGTCTCCGTCGAGTCTGAAACCTATCACGCTTCCGTCTGCCGTATCCGCGAGATCATCACAGCATTTGTCGATGACGAAGATTTTAACGGCTGAGCACGATGACGTCACCAATCGAGTGGCTTATCCTTCGCTGGCGAACGCGAACCTCGTCTTCTTCAAGTCCGGTTATTACAACGTCGAAGTGGTGCCTAAAGACGGCGAATCGGAGGAGCAGCTGTTGAACGATTTCAAGAGGTCGTGTTTCAGAGCCGGTGTGTTGCAGGAATCTCGAAGACGACGATTCTTCGAGAGCTCTCAGGAGAAAAGGATACGGAAGACCAAAGAAGCTGCTAAGAAGTATCGGAAAAGGTCTGATTTTTTTTCACTCTTTTCTTCTCTTTCTCTATCCACACACACTTGAAGAAGTTGAGTGAGTCAATAGATTTTGATTTTACAGGAGACCAAACCCTAAACCAAAGCCGCAAACAACTTCAGAGATACGCAAGAACAGAAATGTATCCAGAGAAGACGAAGAAGACGATCACTGGGAACTTCCTCCTGAGGACATTGAGATTCCATATACCAACCGGTCTTAGAAGTAAACCGGAATGATCTGACATGAACAATCAATCTCAATCACGCATCTGCAATTTGTAAAGCCACTGTTTTGTATGTTTCGTTCCCTTGATGTTCTTAGCTTGAGTCGGTGGAAAATTTTCATTGCTTAGAGTAGAGTGAAGATGAATGATTTTGGAGATGTGTCTATGACGTTGAACCAAATGTGGATGAATCTATAACTAGTTTTGATTACATGAAAAGTGATCAAATATATGAGAAGAATCAAGCCACAAATTGGCAGTTTTTATATTACCGCCAAAATCAGGAACAAAAAACCAAAGCTCATCATCAGTAACAAGAAAACAAGTACTGTAATAAGTCCATTGTAATTGGAAAGGTCTCCTCAATGATCACTCCCTTAGCCATGTAGCCAGAGCCAAATCCCACTCGCATAGCTCGCCTTCTTTGAACCACAGACCTATGCCCCAACCACAAGAGCCAAAATGTCAGTAGATGAAAACCAAAAGTTCAGCAAACTAAGGAATTGATAATGCTTGGTCAAACTAAGTAAATGAAGAAGCGATCGTAAATGTTTTAAATGAGTTATAACCAATCCAAACAGATATGTATATTGAACCTAACAATTTGAGTAATCAAGTATGATCTAATCTAGTTATGCGTTCAAGTTTGATTGAAAAAGGAATTTGAACCAACATTCATTTGCATTCTACAAAAATTTCAGTAACCAAGTTGGACATAGTCAATGCCTCTATGATGAAAGATGGATGAATGATTTTTCAAGAAACAAGAAATCTCACCAATCTCACGCTTGCCGTTTTCAGGACTATCACTACCATGCACAATGTTCCTGCAAATTGCATAATTTAAAAATATCAAACCATGAGAATTATAGTAAGAGCTTACTTCCAACAATTTCAAAAGGTGATGAAAGGCCAACCTTCCGGTTTGCACAGCAAGATCGCCTCTTATAGTACCAGGTTCAGCTTGAAGAGGATCCGTTTTCCCTATTAGCTTCCTGGCTGAAGCAACAACACCAACACCTTCCCAAGCCTTTACAGGATTTAAAACATCACAAGCAATTAACTAATCTAACTACAAGTTGGAAATCAGGGAAAATCAAATGCGAGCATAGTAATAGCCATACCATACACACAACTGGGCCTGAAGTGATGTACTCAATCAGGTTAGGAAAGAATGATTTAGCACTAAGGTCCTTGTAATGCTCCTGGCAATCGGGATAAACACAATCAAATAAAAAAAAATTAGGCAGTGTAACCTGTGAAAATAAAAGTCATGATTAGACTTCATTACATACTTGTCAATAATTTAGTTAAATCACTTAAGAAGCAATCTAACGTCAATACTAGTGAACAAGTGAAATAAAAGTCATGATTAATTAGGCTTCAAATTCTAAATACTTGTGAATGATTTAGTTACATCACCGTAAGAAGCAATCTAAGGTTATCAAACTAGTGATGTTATGAGTGAGTGTCAAACCTCAGCCAATTCTTTAGGGCACTGAAACATCTTGAGCCCAATAAGTTTAAATCCCTTCTTCTCAAAGCGAGAGATGATTTCTCCTACCTAAGAACATCAAATGAATCATTACTTCAATGTAAGATAGTGTAATGCAATCACATTCAAAGCTCCATAGAGATACATAATAATTTAACCTCAAAAACGAGAAGCAAAAACGCTTACAAGGCCTCGTTGTATGCCATCAGGTTTCACCATAATGTAAGTCTCCTCAACTTCCTCCTGAAACAATACAGAAAACAATGAAATAAGGATCAAAAGGTCAGTTAATTTCAATGAGATTCATCAAAACTAATATGAATCCTAAATTCCTGACTTCCTAGTTCAATCATCACTTCAATGTAAGAAAACAAAGTAATTCGCATAAACGGAAAGGAAGAACACAAACCATAGAAGCTACAAGGTGAGGGAGGAAGATTCCCGATTCGGCGGAGCTGGAAGCGCGAAGACGGCGGCGAGACGATGAATCGCGCGAGAAGAGACGGAACTGAGGACGAAATGCGGCCAACTCTGTGCGTAGGTTAACCCTGGCCAGAGGGCAGTGTGGATTGAGACTTGCCGAGTTTCTTACCGGTGGCGAAGTAACACAGAGAGTCCATTTACTAACCACAGTCGCTCCCACCATTTTCTGCGCTTTGTCTTAGCTTCTCAGTGCATTCGCGTCATCATCTATGAGAACAGTTTTAAATGACATAAATACCCTTTATCCAGAATCGGGTTTAGTTGATCGATCAAAAAGTATCAGTTGGGGTTACAAGTAATAAAAGTGATACTTTTGAGTCTCGTTTCAATGGAAAACACGAACTTGTCATGTACAGTTTACTTCTAAAAAAGTTTTAAAAACAAAACTTTGCACATTCCAACAATATCATAATTTGCTGCTTTGATGCCAAACTCAGCTTTTCGACATCATCTTTCTTTAAGCAACAATGTTTTTTTTTTTTTCTCTTTTTGTTCTTCATCAATTTAGGATCATTGTCAACAGAGTCAGGTTGAAAAACAGACTCATTCTCTGTCTTCTAGATGTCTCTGGATTTGACTTTCTTTTGCTTGCTTTAGCCATCATTTTTCACGCCACATCACAATTTGTGCATAATAAGAATCATCCCCCACTTTTTCTTTTCTTCTTGTTGCTTTTAACAAGACCCGGAAAAAAGATTTAATTCAATCAATTTCTACTTCCATATCTTCTGTTTCTTCCTCTCCCTGGTCCACAACTTCAGTTTCTCCCTCTCCATTGTCAACAACTTCAGTTTCTCCCTCTCCATTATCCACAATTTCTGTTCTTTGCACTCCCTCCCCATTGTCAACAATTTCACTTTTTGGCTCTCCCATGTTGACATCTTCATTTTCTTGCTCTTCCTTTTCAGTAACTCTACTTTCTTGCTCTGGTACATTTGCCACTTGTTCTTCTCTTTCAATTTGATTGATGGGTTTTTCATCTTCTTGGTTCCCATTATCTTGTGTCTTTTGGCTTACCAGTTCTTCATTTCCACTAACGAGTTGGTCTTCTCCCCCTTCTCTGTGAGGACTAAGTGTATGTCCTTCACTTCTGTCAACGGCAACTTCTTTTTCTACTCCCTTGTCAACAACGTCATTTTCTTGCTCTCCCATTTCGACAACTTCAGGTTCTTGCTCCCCAATGTCAACAACTTCAGTTTCTTGCTCTTCCTTGTCATCAACTCTACTTTCTTTCTCTAGCACATTCTCCACTTGTTCTTCTCTCTCCCTTTGATTGATGGGGTTTTCATCTCTTTGGTTCCCATCATCTTGTGCCTTTTCGCTTACCGATTCTTCATTTCCGCTAACAAGTTGGTCCTCTCTCTCTTTTCTGTGAGGACTAAGTGTACGTCTTTCACTTCTGTCAAGGGGACGTACTTCTTTCACTCCCATGTCAACAACTTCCTTTTCTTGCTCTCTCATCTCGATAACTTCAGTTTCTTGCTCTTCCTTGTCAACTCCACTTTCTTGCTCTGGTATATTCTCCAGTTGTTTTTCTCTTTCATTTGGGCTGATGGGTCTTTCATCTTCTTGGTTCCCACTATCATGTGCCTTTTGGCTCGCCGGCTCTTCATTTCCATTAACGAGTTGGTCCTCTCCCTCTACTCTGTGAGGACTGTGTTCCTGTTTTTCACTTCCATCAAAGGGATGGTCTTTTACTTCTCTTTGGCTAAAGTGTGGCGGTTCTTCTTCTTCATCCTCATCCTCATCCATTTTCATATACAGACCTAGATGTTCTAATGGATTACTGTTGCTTTCCATCTTGAAACTACCCAATATATCCTCACTACACTTGGGACTCATCACTTCCATGGTAGTTGGTAATTGATCACCCTCGACACCTGTAGCTCTAAGCATCTGGAGGTCTTCCATAAACCGTATGCCCTCGTTTATCTCCACTGTCTTTTCCATCTGCAACAGACCACAAAAGTCATTTATGATGATTGTACACCATGATAAGACTCTAAATAATAGAAGAGAAACTTGAAAAGTCTTTTATACCTTTTGTAAAGCTTGACGTGCAGCTTCTCTCTCTTGCTCTCTTTCCCTCCTCGCTTTTTCTGCGGCTTCTGCTTTGGCTTTTCTCCTAGCCTCCTCAGCTGCTTTGGCCTCGGCTTGTAACCGTACTTTTTCTAATCAAAAGGAAATTGCAAAAATTAACAATACGCATTTAGTTAGGAATTATGATACATAACCACACTCAATGCACTACAATCCAACCTTCCCTTAGCCGTTTTTCAAACTCCTCTCTTTCTATCCTCAATTTTTCAGGATCCCCTTTTTCACCCTGAAATTTGATGCAAAAAAAAATTTCGATTAAACCTTTCCACATTATTCACATGAGCGTTTTCGTCAAACAGTAGATCGGACATTTAAAAATTCAACCTTAATTAGAGCCTTCTCTCGAGCTTTCATGATGGTATCAGCAAAACGATTCTTCAAGAAAGCCGCGCGGTAACGCTTATCAGGGGAAATTTGCATCTCAGGTGGAGCAGTCTCCTCTATAATACCAAAGCATGACAGGTAAAATCATGACTTGAAAATAAACAGCTATTACCATATCCAACCTTCCTTAACGTTCATTTCTTACCATCTGGAATGACAACTACTGCATCCATGGTGGTCGACGTTTCCCCAACAGCATGCTCAAGTTGACCCAATTCATTTAAAGAATCTACAGAGTACAAAGAATGAGTGTCGGGAAGAATTCTCTATCCGAACACTCCAACTCACATACATCAACTGAAAAGAGACTAACCATTTACAAATATCTTCTCACTGTTGCTATCATCCTCCTTTTTGTTTATACCAATTCCTGGTTCCTTTTTATCCTAAATTAAAGAGGAGACTATACTTATTCTTCTGTAGTAAATTTCACTTTTATGATTGCAAATAGTCCATGGAAATTTTGGAGAGTAAATGAAAAATCTTGCAAAATTTAGAGCAATATCAAAACATAGAGACACCACAACATAAGTTATTCCACTGTTAGATATACCTCTCTACTTGTAGGTTTTGAAGCTTTAATGGAATCTGTTTCACTCCCAGAGGAACTACAAGAATCAGAATCTGAAAGATAATCACAGAAAACATCAGTATAAAATGCTCTTCCTAAGGGGGAAAAGTAAAGCAAAGGAATCAATTCTACAGTTTGCCAAACCACAATGTAAGAACTAAATTCCTTCGTCATAAATGATAAACCACAGAAACTAACTACAATATCCTTTATAGCAAGAGGATAACCATACTTACTAGAGCAGAGAAAAAGCATTGAAAATAAAATACGGGACACGACGCAGGCTCAAATTACAAAACAATACTCAGGAGTCCAATACTAATCATTCCAATAAATCAATAAAAGTTACTTTATTTCCAATCTTTACTATTCTTACATACTGTACAAATCAATGCACTATTTAAGAGAAACAAAATGATTATTCTAAGGAAATAGAAGAAGGCTCGCATAAACACGAACCACTAGATGAAGAGCCTGATTCACTACTAGAGCTACTCGAACTGCTGCTTTCATTATTTCTACATGCAGCATCTTTTTCTATCTTAAGAGGAGGATAACTTGAGACCGAAGGGTCATTCCCACCAACTATGTCAACATCCTCGTCAATTTGCAGATCACCTGTGATTAGGAATACATCAGATTACTGAAGTAAATAATTTTCGAAATCAAACTAAATAGCAAAAACTTACCTTTACTAGCCTGCAGAGGGGAATTACTAAATCCAGAGTCATGAACAATCTGTAATAGAAAAGTTAAAACCACAAGTCAAATGTCAATATTTCCTAGAGCACACAAACAATTACTAAAAATAATCAAAGAGATTCTTTACCTCCATCTCACAAGGTTCGCTCTTTTCCAGGGATTTCTTTTTCTCCCTTAAATAGTCATCCAGGAGTTTCCGAACCATGAACAAGGTTTCATCAGAAAGCGTTTCTATATCTATCTCAATCTCAACTTCTTCAGATTGACCATCACTGCCACTTTGCTCTCTCAGGAGATCACTAATGTTTTGTGGGAACTCTTCTTCTAACGCCACCAGATCCTGGCTTAATTTTTTCTTCTCATCATCTGTCATAACCAACTTAGCAGGTTCCACCCTCAGCTTGCTCTCGTTCATTGCAGCTGATTTGTTTCTCAATGGTGCTACTTCAAAAGGAATTTCAGACTCCAGAGAAGCAGAACTGGTTAGGGGAATGACTGGTGGTTTAGTCACAGGTATTTTTTTCTCTATACTTTTCCATCCCGTTTCAAAATATTTACTGATACCTTGAGCCATAGTATGGAACTGATTTCCAGGTGGATTGTAAGCTATAGAATTTGAAAATGTAAGACGCACATCTGCTGCGAAGTCCAAAGGACTAGAGTATTCGCCTTTACGCAGTCTGCTTCGTATCGTTCCAAGATCCATTGGGTGCTTAATCACAGTAAAATAGTCTGGAATATTCAACATCACTGGATCAACTGGAGTACGAAATGCCCACCCCAACTTATGTGACCATAGACGATTGAGTAACGTCTCACACTCCTTCATCACTGAAGCAACAGTAGAAATTGTTGGTACATTTAATCGAGATGGACCTTTCTTAGTCCGGTGCTTATCATTGCGCACAGGAGGACGCTTTTTGCCCTGTGACCCAACAAATTTAGCAAAGTTTTCTGGTGGCGGCCTCCTAGGCCCATCACTGCAGCTATGAATATCATTGTATGGCGACAACAGAACAGCATCTGAACTGAAAGATGCAATCTTCTTACTAAGGTCCCTGACCTGTTGAAGCTCCATCTTCAACTTGTGAACTAAATTCTTTCTCTCAGACCTCGACATCTTTGACAACGACAAAACCTCTTTAGAAACGCCATTGCTATCTCCATTCAAACCAAAACGTCTCCTTTTCAGTGGAGGAGAGGCCTCAGAATGTTTCATCACAGAATCAATCCTCCCTGAGTAAACAAATTCATCAGGCTCAATGGTCTCAACAGCTTGCATGTAATCAGGAACAAAGCCTGATGATCTCCCTCTAGAGTGTTTCCGCGCCTTACCCATCAATTTACTAAAAACCAGAAACCCAACAGTTCATTCGATTTTCAGAGTTAATCGTCTTTCCATCATCAAATTAGAACATAGAACGAACTAAAAAAAAAAAAAAAAATCAAGCAAGTATGCTTTTACGCCTCTGCTTCAAAAATCTTGCAGATAGCTTCAACAATGAGCAGCGTTCAAGTAAAGTTGCAGTAATCAATCCTTTTCCACAACAATCAACCCTCATTGTTATCGAGCCAAGACGCAATTCGCCGAAAAAGAATCACAAAGATGCGATTACCAAATCAATCCGAAGATGAATTCCTATGAATTGCACGTTTACTTACCAAAACTGAGAATCGAATTGGTCTAAGCTTCTTCCTTCTCCCTCAGGTCAAAATCAAAATCAAATTCACCGAGGAGATTGTCTTCCTCAACGGCAATTGGGGAAAAAGCTAAATCGAAACCCTAGAAAAACCCTCGACTGAGTAAAAAAAAAATACCAAAATCGATTTGGGGAAACCCTAGATCCAGAGCTTCCAGATATCGCTTCCAATGAAAAAGAAAAAATTCGAAATAACGAAAGAGGTGAGAGGAGAGAGAGAGACTTACGAAGAATAACGAACAAATTTGCTTCTCTACTTATAGATCCGAAGAGATGATCAGCCCGCCGCCTTTAATCGAATCTAAGCCGTTAATTTCCAGCCAACCAAATCTAGACGGCCACAAATATCCCTTCGATTTTTTACCGTCGAGATTTAGATCTAACGGCTGCGAAGGCTACGGCGCAATCTAGTGAATCTGGAGCGCGTGAGTATAAATACTCCAAATTGCAAGGGCATCAGATTACACGTGTTACTAGAGCGCGTGTTATAGACGCGGCTACCGACCGACATTGTCTCTACTATTTTGACTATTTTATCCATTTAACGCGCCTTGTTAATAGCGTTTGAATAACACGTGCCTATGAATCTTTTTATTTTCAGGCCCTTTAAACCCCCACAAAGCCCAGTAGTAAAATATTAATTATATTTTTTACGTCATTTTTTGATATGGGCTTGTGATTAATGTTTATTATGTTAACACCTTTGCAATGTTGACAATTTCCTGTCAAGCTTAAATGTAGAGGTGGGCATTTCGGTTTAACTTTGGGTTCGGTTTAAATTCGATTTATTTGGGTTTCGTAAAACTCTAACCAAACTCAACCGAAGTTAGTTTGGTTCGGTTTGTATTTAGATCAGTTTATATTTAGTTCAGTTTAGTTCGATTCGGTTTTACTTTGGTTCAGTTTGAGTTCGGTTCAAAAAATCAATTAATGTAACAAAACAAAAAATTTCATTGTCTTTGAAGTTTGAACATTGAAATTGATAAAAATAATTAAATTTCAAGTTTAAATTGAATAATTCAAATTAAGCATGAAAATAAAAACCTAAAAAACTTAACCATAGTAATTAGAAGAAAAGGAAAATGATATCCAACAACTTAACATAGCAATCTTCCATGATTCCTTCACGCAATGTCATCAAGAATGAAATATGAAAGTCTTTTTGAGTTTTACTCTTTATAAGTTAGAAGAAGAACATTAAGTTTTTTTTGGGTTAAGAGTTGGGGCTTTTGCAAAAATGCTACTTTTTCAATGCCACTTTTCAAAAATACATTTTTTTAAAAACCTTATAAAAAAAGCTCTTAAAAATATAAGATTTACCCAAATATGTATGTAATATTATTAAAACATACACAGACTACATTTCTATGTATCTAAAATCTTATAAATACTTTATAAATACCTTATAAATGCATTTTAAATACCTTTAAAATATCTTGTAAAACATTTGAAAAACCTTAAAAATCCTTTAAAATAACTTGTAAAACCTTTAAAAACACCTTATAAAACCTTATAAATATTTGGATCGAGTCTTCAAGTAGTAGTTACAATCCATAAGTACCTTATAAACCTAATAAAAATTTCAGATTTAAAAAGGGACATTTTTGAAAATGGACATCTAAAAAGGACATTTTTGAAAAAAACACACCAAAAGGGGTATTTTTAACAATTTCCCTTAATTGTTTTAGAAATAATTAAATCTTATTTACATTTATTCAAATTATTATAAAAGTAAAAATAAACACATATTTAGTTATTTATAATATTATTAATATAATTAACTATTTAATTAAATAAACACATTGGATTATAGGTTCGGTTCGGTTTACCCATTTGAGTTGAGAATAAATCCAACCGAATGATTTGAGTCTGTTTGGGTTCGGTTTAGGTCGGTTAGGTTGGTCGGTTCGGTTCGGTTTAAATGCCCACCCCTACTTAAATGACATGAAAACGAAACGTGAAAAATAAAATTTTGATGAAAAGAAAAGGGATACATCATACATATTTACAACTTTCTTGCAAGTTTTAACCAAAAGAAAAATGCTCAAATTTCAGATAGAGTAATTTAGCATTTCATAACTCAAGAAAGACAAAGCAAACTAAAAAAAACACAGAATATATGTTCAAGGTGAAAATTAAAAAACCATAGTTCATCATTTGCTATTATTAGTTCTGCGAAGACCATGTGTGATACGATCGGGACCGTTCATAATTTTCACCATTGTGAATCCAACGGCGGCGATCGAAAGAACGTCACAAGCACAAAGCTGCCTTAACGTCAAGTCTCCACGCAAAACCACCGCCGTCCATTCTCCACACGTCACAAGGCACCGTGACGGAACCTCTTTCTCGATCTTGACACGTGTACTGTAATCTCACTCTGCATGTAAAAGCTGGGTACGTTAGCATCGGCCTCTCCTTCATCACTAACCGTACGATCACGTGAAAATTATCGTAATTCATCTCCTCCGGTACACCTTCCTCCATCGGAATATTAATATCTTCTCTAGCCATCTTCTTATACGCCTCATTGGTCCACGTGACTCTCCCTGCACCGTCCGATATAAAACCAGGACACGTGTCTTTCACAAGATTCATCTTCCTCTCCTCATTTGTCTTCCCTAATCCATAACCGTCGATCCATGCGTCAGTCACACGTTCAACCGTCACACACGACGAAACAACCACCGTCCTTCGACATATCTCCGCCGAATTGTACGGCGTTAACATCTCACTACCGCCGTTGAAACTCAGCCATAAAGGACCGTTTCGCTTCTGTTTCTCTACCGGAAAAGCATTCAGATCTGGAAAAACTGCTTTATCAGGCGTCTCTGGTAAAAGAGACAATGTAACCGCCGTGGTAGTAGCAGCATCTCCACTGAGATCTCTCTTCTTCTTATTGCACCTTCGGGAGTTACCGCCGGAACTATCTCTCTGGTACTTCCTCTTTCCTCTCCCAGATTTACCGGAAACATCGGAGCTTCCACCGCTTGTAGTTGTGGGGGAGCCGTACTTTCCGGTGACGGGAGAGACACTTCCGCCGCCGTCGCTGGCTGGTTTAGGAGCAATGGGACGGAATCGAAGCATGATTCGATCAGCTTTGGAGAGACCATAACGACCACCGTAAACGCCATATCTGGCTATGCAACAGCCTCCACTACCGTCCATATATATCTCTATCTATATATTTCTCTTAATAGGTTTTAATGGAAGCTTTGAAGAATAATGAAGAGAGGTATACGAAGGGGTTTATATAGGGACTCTGAGGATGACGAGTGTTAGGTTGATACGCGTGTCTTTGTCTAGAATACGCTTATCACCGTTGCACTTGCACATGGAATTTTTCTTTCTTTTTTTGTTCTGCAAAGGACATGAAATATATATATATATATATTTTTTTTTTGTCCGAAATTAATTATAATTCAAAAAAATCATTTTCGAGGAATATTGTTTATATATATAATATATGAGACAGTTCTGTACGAATTTTTCGTACCAGTTATCCAGCCTTAACATTAGCACTACGAGAAATTAAAGATAAAAAGAGGTTTAAAAATTCTTTTTTATCATCCTGAAATTCCTCTAAATACACTGAAAACGTCGGCCATTCAATTGGAGAATGTCATAAAAAATGTCGTATCTTTGGTGGGCACCGCACTTACCAAGAATGTGCTTTTAGTAGTTTGATATCTAGACCAATAAACGAAAAATCAGTCTCCGACTTTTCTATCTGTGTGGTATGATAACCCGACTTAACTGTATATTTTTCAGATTTTTAAAGTATCAACCCAGAGTACTTCCTTAGTAGGCGCACTCACTAGTAAAGCACTTATTAGTGCGACATCTTTAGGATCAAAGATCTCTTTTAAAAAATTAATATTCCAAAAATTAGACCGTCTATCGATAAGGGTTTGAACTTTTAATATCAATAATTGAACCATTACTTTTTGCTGGTCACGAAAATTGAGTTGAAAAGGGACATGAAATATATTATTGTTCATATTTATGTTTATAATGCTATTCTAAAAAGACAAAAAAAAAAGTACTAATCAAAATTGGCATGAAATATAATATATTTTTCTTTAGATGTAAAAACTGTATCATTTACAGTATTTCAACAATAAAAAAATGATAATTATTTAATTCTGACATAAAAAAATTAAAAAAATTAAAATTAATTAACTTGTACTTTGTAATTGCATGTTTGACATGAAGTTATATATTTGATTTATCCGACAGACCAATACAAAATTAAGCTACCGTTTTCTAATCTCCGATTTGTTCATTGATGAAATAAATATGATGGCATTCAAGATTTTTATCCTATATATATAAGGAATGGAATTGAGGACAGAATCTGGTCTTATAGTAAAGAATTAATTAGTAGGTGCCTTGGTTAGTTAATAATCACTTTGACCCTTGTGTTTACTGTTTACTACTTTAGTATTCAAACTGATTTGTTTGGCCTAAAAGTAGATATTTTCTTTATAAATTATCCCAAAATTAAAAGAAGATTACATATAAGGTTACGTATGCATATGAGCAATTACGGATTCCCATTGTAAATTTAAAATATCTAGAGTTCAATTTGTCAAATAGTAGTTGTGCATTGTCATCATTTCTCAAAAGGAGAAGAAACTAATGTTCAAACATGTTTTCAGATATAGTGTGGATTTTGGATTTTATGTTTTTATACATAATTGCAACAAAATAAACACATAATCAAGGGTTGTGAATAATCTATATATATATACTCATATGAATATAAAAACATTTAAAAGTTTTTATCATATGAATTATTTATTTTTTCACAATTCAGAAAAAATAGATTGAGAAGAATGCATTAAATGGATGCATTGAGATTTCGTAACTAACTCAGTGAGTTCAATATTAAACTGATGTGCAACCATGTTCCGATTTACCAAACGCGAACATGCACAAAAAAGAGAGAGCCAATTATGCTCTATTTAGGATCTAACTATATATAATATATCTAACCTTTTACTCACTAGTTAGTTCCGAAATTCCTACGTTCCAAATTGTAAATTTTAGGTAAAACCAAAAGTAGTTTGTGGTTTCAAACTTTCAATCATGAATAAATGCCAAAATTAGGTTAAAATAGATAGTATATCGAAAAGAACAAAAGAAGAAGAAGGTAATGTTAGGCATGGTCCAAGAGATGAGGGTTTAATTCATACATTATCATTGACCAATTCTGAATTACATTTAGTGGAATCTTAATTAACTAAAGGTGATCGTGACTCTAGATCTCAAATCTTAATTAAGGGGACAAGATCGATGATCTCATGTCTAAAGACGAATTTTGTGCCAATGGAGTTAGGTCACCTCTTTTAGGAAAGGAAAAGAAAGAACATTGAACGGCGTATAAATAAATACATCAAATATCCAATGCTTCTTTTTCATATAAAAATCTAGCAACTATACTAAGTTAAACATTTACTATCCACGTATTGACACATGTAACAGAGTAGTGCATACTCTATAAATTCCGTCACTTCTTTAATTTACTCATGAGAAAATTTATTATTCATAACTATTAACACTGGTTATGAAAATTGGTGGCGTCATGCAAGATTTTTTTTTTCAAAACAGTGTGTAAAATTAGTTGTTAAAAAAAAAAGTTTCTAATATTGTAATCATTACACATTTTCCCTAATTATTCTATAAAAATAAAATAAGTGATAATGTATATCACTTAATTATATCATCTTGTGAAAACCTTAGGTGAAACAAATGTATTTTATTGAATAAATAGTCACTTCTTTCTTAGCGGTCTATGTGACTACGCCTAGTGTAAAAAGCATAAACATTACAACAGCTAAACGTCGTGTTCATATGTGATGGAAGAAACTATACAAACAAGATCAGTCTTTAACAAAAACTATATGAACAAGAATTATATTTTTATAAAACTCACGAGTGACGAGATCATCATGGAGGCATCTTAAATCATACATAAATTAATGTCTTATAAACATCTTTTGTTTGCTCAAAAAAAAAAAAAACATCTTTTGTAAGATGAAATGATACTTAAACTACGTTAGATATATATTGTAGTCAGTCATTGCTATATGGTGATGATGAGTATATTATAATTAAAAAAAAAAAAGAATGAATACTGTCGCACTTTGTGATTTAAATTTGAATATATATATACATATATATATATATATATATATGACATTGCATAGTAGAAATATACTGTGTGACAAATAAAATCGTGGTCCTATCCCCATTCGGAAAATTATGGACATAAGAGTCAAAATTTTATAAAAAATTATATTTTTATATTAAAAAACTAAAGTAGATTCGGAAGGGAGTTCCAAGGAGCGATGGCATCAAGAAAAATCTGATGGGTTTGTGTTGCGTTGTACTTTGCATGGTAACACGCAAGCGGACACGTAGAGGCATGTAATTAGCTTATCAAATTAACTATAATTAATACTATCTCATTAGTTAATTAGCCCAGGCATAATAATTAGTCTAGCGTCCTAGAATTGTCCAAAGTGAAAGTGGGACGAAACTGATGACTGATGTTGAGACTTATTGAGAGTTGAGAGTTAGGTTTGATTCTTGATTTAACATTCGATCTCATCTTCCATGACAAGAAAACACATTATACTGTATACAGTTGATATATGTAGCTAGTTTTAATCCCAAAATGTAATCTTGATCATTAAAGTGTAGATGATTTTAGTGGTTCCACTTGACGTCCCTATAGTAGTAAATGCAATTATCAAAAACACGTCATACATTTCTAAAAGAAAGAAGGATGCACAAATGTAATCTTTTCGGGTTGGATCAGATCAATTATATTTGGCTTAAAGACATTGATTAATACGTAATATATTAAACAAATGAAAAACATTGATTACCTTTGCTCTCACCCTCACCTACTGATTCTATACCTAATTAATTACATAATTAACGCTAGCTAGCCAACAGTTTCAACATAAACCACCATCGAAACATGTTTGAATTGTTTTTTTTTATCAATACTATAAAACTAAAAAATTCAGCTCTCTTTGTTAGTCATGCATAGTTTACCCTTTTCTCAAGAAATCGCTGATGACCCGTTTATTGATATAAGAGACACTAATTTCTCTGTAAAAATTAGGTCCAATTAATAAATCTGGTATAGTTCAAGAATTTAACAAAGTAACTAGGAAAAAAAAAAAAAAAGCCAAAGTAACCAGGATGAAATTAAATTTCTGTCATATAATAAGACGCAAGAATTGGTAATCAACTAGCTTATATGCCGTGCCGTGTCCATCAAATTAGAAATTTCCATTATTCTAAGACTATAATCCAATGATTTAATATGCATATGGGACAAAGCAATCTTATCCGTTAAGGACTAAATTAATATATGGAGTAATTCTTAATCAAATATATCAGCAGTAATATATTTGTTTTAAGAAAAAACTTTCGACATGTGACCAAAAACATTTCGAGTTACTGATTTAATGTAACAAATTTAAAAGATATATATAAACACATCAAACTTACAAACACTTAATAGATGTTCCATTACAAAAGTGAAAATCCAATAATATCCAAATAGATGTACATAAAACGATATAAGTGCTAACTTTTTTTTTTTTCTTTTAAGAATCAGTAGTTGCAAAATTTGAGAAAAGCTGATAGTTTCTCATTTCGTTTGATATGCAGTAACCAATGAGAAAACATCGTTAATTTATTAAATAATTCAAACTACAAAAAGAAACCCGAATTCAAACGTCTCAGCATTAACAAATGTTTGTCATTTGCTATTTATTTTATAAAATTAAGACAAGTACTAAACTCTATCAACACTAAACAATAAAATCGAGCATGTGCAACCAATTATAATCTGACAGCTCAAGAATATGAAAATACAAAATATAGAGAGAGGCTCGAAGACAGAAAGAAAAAGGTAATACTATTGAATCACCAACAAAACCACGCCCAAGAACCCTAATTGGGGAAAGTGGCTAAATGAATTCTCGCCACGTGTGGATCTGATGGTGTCATAGTCAGTAAAGTTATAAAGCTAATGTGTCATAAAAGCTTTGAAACTGGTCGTTTTGTCTGGGACACTTGTACAGTTATGGAAAGGAGGACCCATTAGTTTATCATAAACTTGATTAAATTAGTACTTTATTTCTTTCTATATATATTCGTTTATGAAATTCTGTGTCATTAGAGAAATCAGATGATGTGGCAACCATTTTATTTTCTGTTTTCTTTAATCGATCATACCCAAAAAAAAAAAAAAAGAAGCCTATATGCAGCATGTAAAGGTTAATTAATACAGAGGAATGGTTACAAGTGTGTCTGGAGAAAACATAAATGAATAAGAATATCACTGTCCTCACTAGAAATGAAGGATGGAAGAAGCCACGAGAAGGCTGGATGAAGTGTAATTCAATGCTACTCATAAAAACAATTGACAAAAGAACTGGCAAATTCATTGGAGTTGGAATGGGGAAGAAGCATGGCAACGACAAGAAGCTGGGAGCAAGCAAAGACTAAGGACCGTGCCGATTCACATTTGGAACAAGGAAAGATAATCGATGTCCGTATCTGTCTTGCAAAATAGAGTTTTCTCATATTAAATCGGTGGTTTGTAGAACACCTGTATTTTATTTTGAAGGCATTGACATACCCACCAAGAATCAAGATGATGCTGATTCTTTTTTTTTTTTTGATTCGTCACTGAATTGATTAACTTGGCTGTTTACAAAGCCAACGAGAAAGGATGACAAGGGTTATATAGTGTTGAAGAAAATTTTATTTTGCTCTTCTAAAGCTCATCTCAAAACCATTATTATGTTCGGAGTAACATAGAAAAGACCATTGCCAACTACCTCTTATGTTCACAGAATCATCTTCTTCTCACTGTGCCATCAGACCAAACACGAACACCTCAAAGACAAAAGGGACATCCAACAACAAACCAACATTGATAGAGAGCGTGGTAAATAAGTAATCAACATAAACTTACTGATGTCAACTTCCTTTTTCCACGTTTGTGATAAACTCTTTGCATTTACCTCGTGAATAAAAAACAAGGCACAAAGAAATATGAGGACATAAACAATAACCATCCCAACCCAATTACTATAAAAAAAAGACAAGAAAACTGAAATTTCTTCCATTGAAGCCTGTGAGTCAATAGGGTGTACATCACTTGATAACAATAAACTCATCCCATTAGGGTTCTAAGCGAAAAGAGAGAAACACACCTTTCAGTTTTACGGACATATATTTACACATGATTCCGAATAAATGGTACACTAGAATACCCTGAATCTCCAGCCAACAAAGAACTGAGTTAAGAAAAGATGAAAACAAGTCTTTTTGAGTAAATAAGGAAAATACCAAAAATAGGACCAGTCAGACTTCCCTGTGTACCGCGCATATATATTTGTTGACATCCTCTCCTTCAAATGATGGCAGGTTTTTTACAGTTACCACTTTGGAGGATATGTTGGCATGAAATCTTTGGATTTTGGTAGCGGGACTTCATGGAACCAACCATGGTTGAGAGCCTCTTCCACTGTTAGACGTTTCTCAGGATCCAAAGTTAATAGACTGTTCAGCAAATCAAATCCACGTTCAGAAAGAATTTGACCACCTACAAATGAAATAGCTGGAAACTTCTTACGTAACATATTGTAAGGTTGTGTAGGAAACTTGGCTTTCGCATTCGGGAATGATGAAAATCCAGGCCAGACTGCCTCGTTTGGTGTTCCAAGGACCGCAAAGATCTTTTGAAGTTGGTCAAGCTCACTCTTGCCCGGGAACAAAGGCTTTTGAGACAACAGTTCAGCCATAATGCAACCAACTGACCACATATCAACTGCTGTAGAGTACTCTTTTGCTCCTAGAAGAAGTTCAGGTGGCCTGTACCACTGAGTAATAACCATCTGGGTATACGGCTTGATAGGGCTCCCATACTGGCGTGCCATCCCAAAATCACATATTTTTAACTCCCCACAATTGTTCATTAGAAGATTAGATGGCTTCAGATCCCTGTGGATAATCCAATTTGTGTGGAGGTATTTTAAACCATCCAACAGCTGCATCATCAAGCACTTGACTTCGCTAGTGCTAAAAGGTTCCTTCCTTCTATCCATTACACCCCTCAGGTCGTGTTCTAAGTGTTCCATGACCATATATACATCACTATCGTTTTTCCCTCCAACCACAACCTCCTTCACATTCACAATCGCAGGGTGATTGCATGACAGAAGTATGTTAATTTCCCTCAACGATGTCAAAGGGAATCCATACTCTTCTTCGAACCTATCTTCCTTCATCTTGATCTTTTTGAGCGCCACAATCTCCTTTGTTTTCTCATCTCTTGCTTTGTAAACAATTCCATACGTTCCTTCATTTATCTTGTTTAGCTTCTGAAATTCATTCACAGACCTGCTCCCAAGCATCATGTCCATCCCTCCCTGAGTTGAAGAATCTGGATCTTCATTTTCTAACTCATCATGATCAGAACTACAATACTCACGATCAGAATTTTCATCTGCACTAAGATTCTCTACGCTGCGATGTCCACTGCCAGATCCAGATGAATAGCACTGCGGTTCTTCAGACACCATTACTTCCTCGCACTCCGGTGTCAAACTGCTCCTGTTCCATCTACTAGTCTTGGAAACATTATCAGCATGAGATATTAACTCCTCCTTTGGGGAAGTCAAACCTGTCCCCCACCTAGATGTCTTAATACATGGTTCCTGCATCACTTGTTCTTCCTCCAACAGACCCTCTTTTACATGCTTCTGCATCACCTGTTCTTCCTCCAACTGACCCTCCTCCAAATCATCAACGGAATGTTTCACAGACAGCATGGCTTCTAAAGGCTGCACTGGAACAAGATAACTAGGTTCTGGCGACATCAAAAAATTAACTTGATCCTTTGAAGAAGTCTTACCAGCAACAGCCTGGTTGGATATCACAGTTGTAGTCGGAATAGGGAAAGGAGACCTTGTCTTCTCCCCAGACGGAGCTCTACCCACTTTATCTTCTTTTGCATTCCACAAGATGGGTGAAAACTTCCTCCTTTTCTCAGAGGGTCTCTGAACCTCCGCTTCCTCTCGTAGTTCCCCTTTCTCATAAGCCAACCGTGATCGGTGACGCCCATCATTCCTCCTGAGATCATGGTCACTAGGCCGTTTGATTTGACGCCTCTCGGCATCTCTACCACTCTGTCGAACATACACATCACGAGAACCATTCCTGTAAAAGTCGTAGTCTTTTTCGACGGCAACAGAACTTCTGGAGACATCAACACCCCCTGCCGCCATCGTATTCTTCTCAATGAGAAATTGATCGTATAGAAATCAAAAAGGATAAAACCAAAAATAACCTCGAAACAACCCAATTAACGAAACCCAGAATCAAATCACGAGAAGCAGATTTCAATAGCTGTTCAATTACTTTTCAACAATTGAACCCGAAATACGATCAATCAACCAATTAAGAAAAACACCCTTGACGAAATCGAAATCAGAATAATTAAAAAAAAAACGAAACCCTAGAAATTCAATTTCCAGGAACGCGAGAATATTTCGCCTTCCTCTTCTCCGATTCACAAATACCGGAAGGTCTTACCGGACGGCGAATCAGAAAACGGAAGACGGGGATGGAGGAGGAGATGGATCTACGAGCCCGATGCGATCTCGAGAAGCTTTTCTCTAAATTCCTCTCGGAGACACAAAGACGCGTTTTCGATTTTGTCTAGTGGATCTCTATTTTTTACTTTACCTTTTATTTTATAAGCGTAATAAGTCTCCAAGGTCGGCTGCTCCAATAATTTCCTTGTTTAATTTCATAGATTTATCTAATGTTTGCAGGTGCACCGAAATAACGTGAGCTACGACTTAAACCGTTGGATCTTATCAATGAACGCGTAAATAGTCGTTTATTGGTTGGACGGTGACGATGCTATTTATTACTCACGTTGATCGAACGGACAGTATTACATTTAAATCTTGTATAATGTATGCCTTTTTTTTTTTTTTTTTTTTTTTGATCAACTGTATAATGTATGCTTATGGTGAAAGATTACAGATTAGAGAAGAACTCTAAATAATTGAAGCGAATACAGAAAACGATATATTCCCTCTGAACCGGTCAATAAATCCCATATTCACTGAGAACCGATACAATAATAACTGAGCCGGCCGGTTATCTCAAAGCTTTGATGCATTGCCATCCACGGCGATTTTAGTAAGTTCCCGACGCAGAATCTTGCCAGCAGGATTTTTTGGGATTGCATTTATGAAAGCAACTCGTCTTACCTTCTTGTACGGAGCAACCTACACATAAAAGTTACATAAGCAAACCAAAACATCAAATCCAATTGTTCTGTCTACACTTGTGCTCAAATTTGGGAACAGAAATATTATAACCAACATTCTAGAGCATTACTTGTTTAGCTACGAAATCAATGATTTGCGCTTCGTTGAGATTGCTTCCTGGTTTTCTCACTATGAAAGCCATTGGAATCTCTCCTGCATCCTCGTCAGGGAACCTTGAATTGATGATCCATGTCAGTATCAGAAATCACATTTCCAGAAGTTTCAAATTTGAGTTTAAAAGACTCACGGAACAACTGCAGCATCAATCACATCTGGATTCGAGTGAAGAATCTGCTCCAACTCTACCGGTGGAACCTATAAGATGACGCCTTTGATTAATAATATTGAAACTCCAAAGACTATCTTCTTCTTCTGACTCGTATTCTTTACCTGATAAGCCTTGTATTTGATTAGTTCCTTTAGCCGATCAACAATATACAGAAAACCTTCCGCATCAAAATAACAGAGATCACCAGTCTTTAACCACCCTTCTTCGTCTACTGTCTCCGCACTCGCTTTCTCGTTTCCCACATAACCTATGCCCATCAATCACCCAATGTAAACCAACAAGTTCAAAGTCACATCAATGGTCAAAATCTTGATGAATACATTAGACTTCAAGAATCATGAAATCCGCCGAGTCCTAGATTCTTATATGCTAAGTCATTTAGTAAAAGCCCTTGTATGTTCTTCAACTATTGCATATGTTACACAGTCCCAGATTCTTATTTGCAAAGTCACATCAATGATCAAAGTCTTGATTTAATGTGACTCAGTCCTAGCTTAGATGCAAAGTCACATCAATGATCAAAGTCTTTAAGTCTACAGCAAAGTCATAGTTCAAGATTCATTTAGTCTACACCAGCTCAGCAAATTGCATATGTTTAATTATACCTTTCATGATGACTGGTCCTCGGAGCCATAGTTCACCGGTTTTTCCCGGTGGCAAGGCTTCTCCGGTGGATGGATCAACAATTTTGGCTTCCAAATTCTCAGAGATACGACCAACTGAGCCATATTTTACCGTCTCTTCAGGTCCAAAAGTTGACGCAGCTGGCCCCGAGCTCTCCGTCAAGCCATAGCCCTGTAAGCCATCACCAAACCAGAAAGTTAAAAGTCATATCAAATGATTCAAAATCTTGATGACAAATTAGATTCCAAGAATCATGAAATCGGATATACCGTCCTATATGCAAAATCAAATATAGTTATTTACACTAACTCTGTCTTATCACCTGTACAATTTCCACATCTGGGAATTTCTGCTTGAACCTCTCTGCGATGTCTTTGCCGAGTGGAGCGCCGCCGCAGCCAAGAGAACGCAACGACCGGAGATCGTACTTCTTCGTTAGCTCCGATTTGACCAATGCTACAATCAACGGAGGAGATACAGGCATACCAGTAACCTTATATTTCTCCACCGCCTTTAACATCGCCTCAAGCTCGAATCTCCCTAAAAGCACCAGCGTGTCTCCAAGCGAGATGGCTCGAATCATCATCGTGAAGCCAAACACGTGGAAGAGCGGAAGCGAGAACAGTCCAACGCGATCATAATCAACCGGATCTTGGAGAGTCCGTTGGTGAGACACGGCGGTCGAGGCAATTAGGTTACGGTGAGTGATCAAAACGCCTTTGACCCGCCCGGTTGTGCCAGACGAAAAGAGGATTGCGGCAGGGTCCGATTGGTGGACCCGAACCTGAAATGGATTAACCGATGAAGCATCCGATCGATTTAACCAGGAGAGAAACTCAGGCGAGTCCATCAGAACGATTCCGAGAGGGAAAGATGAGGACCGAAGCTTCTTAACCGTCTGCGATGTCGCGAACGCAATTACTGGTTCACTGACTTCAACCTGATGACTCACCTCTGATTCAGATCCGATTGGGTTCGCCGGTGAAACAACAACACCGATCGACATTAAAGCTAAGTAAAGCACTGGTATGTGCAGCGAAGGTGGAGAGAGGATAAAAGCGACATTTTTTGAGGAAAGAGAAGGAAATCGCTCCCGGAGAGATACAGCAAGAGAACGAACTCCACGAAGAAGCTCTCCATAAGTGAGGCTATCACCAGAGCTCGAGTTAACTAGGAAGGTTAAGGCTTCAATGTTTTTCCCGGCGGTGGCTGGTGGTGAGGATTTGCGGAGCAGAGAAAGTACGAATTCGGCGGTGGAGAGAGGTTGATCTATAGGAGGTAGAGAAAGAGAAGGGCGAAGACTATGATAAATTCCTGTCCGTTGATCGAAGCCGGAGCTCCGGTCAATCGAACGGCTGTCGTTGTTTTTCGTCTGCATTCTTGAAGAGTGAAGACGATTAGAGATAATCTTTTCGTTGCCGGTGAATAAGCGCGCATGCGAGAAGGATATTTCAATTATTATGAACTCGAATAAATTAATCTATTACGTGGCAAATACTAAACCAATCAAATTTTATTGTTATACTGTTTTTTGTTTACAAAACTACAAAACAAAATAACTAAAAAAGCCTTCCAACGTTCTTTCAAAGATCTGTAACATCAAGAATGAATGAATGAAGTTTTGTACGCAAAACATGGAGAAAAATCTATACACTTACAGTAGATTTATATGTACACGTGTCTAATGGCGATTGGTTGCAGCTGGACATGTATTGCTTTGAGCTATACCAAGAGACCTGGCTTTGGAACCTGACCTAGAAGAGACCTACAGACCTGTGTTTTCCATGGCGGCACATACACTCCGGGACGGGATAAGCTATCACGTCACGATCTCTCCGCCCTCTCCGTGACTCAGGATGGCCTTGGGACTTACGGTGAAGCTTCCGAGTTACAGAACTGAGCTCGGCATCTGAAACTGAAGAATTCTCCATTAAAGGAAGCATTGCTCTCTTATTAGGCATTATAAACTTCCTGTGTCCTACATAAGCTCTGTTTCCCTGAGAGAATGAATATACAGGGTTTAAGAAAGAAACTTTGGAAAATCAAATCCATCAACGATAATCTCTAAAGACTATTTTGTTGTGTTACCTGCATAGCTTTTGCCATGTTTCCACCATGGGAAGGAAGAAAAACATCGCTGCTAAGTGATACAATGTAGTCAATAGCAGCTAAAGCTGAAGATCTATTGGTGTAAGGCAAGAGCTCGCCTTTATGAGCCAGTGTCTCCTTTGTCACCAAATTAGAGAACTCTTTAGAGAGAGGCTCTAATGCTCGTGAGCCACCAAATGGCTCACCTCCTGCAATATATATCGATGCATTCCTAGGTGCTCCCAAGGCCTTCAACAACCTTTAATCCCAAAAAAAAAGACTAGAACTTGAAGTTTCCATCAAACCATGTATACAAATTGTCAAAACTCTCTTTCATGTTAGTTACCTTGCAATCTCATATGCATTGAGAGGACAAAAACCAGCAAGTCTACGCTCTGTATAGCTCATGTTTAGTCTACCAGTAAGGTATCGAGGCTGAGATGTCCTGGTTTCTGCTATGATCCTATCAAATTCTGAGCCTAATCCAGTGAGACAACCAGTTCTTACCCATACATCTTTCTCTAGCCTTAAATGGAGAGCTATATATGGACCTTCTATCCACATTCTTCTCGCGAGTTTGTTCCCGAGATTCTCAATCGGTGCTGCGAATCTCAGTGCATGGAAAGCAACCTACAAACGAACAAATTAAACCACCAACATTTTGCTCCTCTAGAGACTGAAAACAAAGGGTTGGCTGAAAAATTGTACCTTGCATCGAAGCTTCTGAAGATCCGGCGGGAGATTCTTGGCTAACTTTGAGTCTAATCCTTTCAACACCAAAAGTCCTTCCTCATTCAACTACAATGTAGTAAACATTTAAAATTCAAGAATCGATCAGAGAAAACATAAACCCTAAACTAGTAAACAGCAGAATCAAACCTGTTTGAAGTATTTTGCCCGGATCCAAACTGGAGAAACATCCCAAGGAATCTGATTCTCAATTGTTTGTCTAGACATAAGATGCGTTGACGGTAGAGAAGAAACGATACGCACATCAGATCTCAGCGTTTTCTTGAAATGCTCTACATCGAAAATGTCAGAGAACTCACTGAGAGAAAAACAAAAGCTCTTGATCAGTAATACGAATCAAAAACCCAGAAGAGGTCATCAAGTTGTGTTTTTGTTACCTTTCGTCTCCCCAGACTCGATTCACCTGCAAAACAGGAACAACAAGAGCAGCTTCAAGAATCATAGCGATTACAACAGCATCAACGATTTGATTCCGTTGTTGATTAAGTCCACCAGAGACAACAACAACAAGGAATCGTTTCTTCTCTTTAGAAACCCTAACTGATTTCTTCCTGTAATCCAAACTAAAATCCAAACAAGGCTTGTATCCTTCACCATTGGGTTGTTTCCAAAACTCTCTCTCTTCCTCCGTCATATTCCCGGAATGTCCTCCTCTCGTCGGTAACGGAAACAATGTGGAAGCTCCGGAGACAGCGAGGGAGGTTAAGATCTGACGGTGGTCGACGTCGGAGATTAAGAATTTGAGAGAGGAAGTCGAAGATGTGGAGACGCAAGTTGACGATTCAGGGTTTAAAGAAAATGTGAGAAACGAAATTCCCGAGAAAACGAGAGAAAGTGAAATGAGAAGAAGGGGATACTGTGGAGGTGGGCATCGAGTTTGGTGATGGTGATTTAGGTATCGGGGACTTGATTTCTTCAGTGGAGAGAAGAAGAGCAGAGAGAGATGGAAGAAAGGAGATGGCGGATGCGAAGTGAAGAATGGATTTTTGATAGTTCTCATCGACTTCGCCATTGAAGCAGCTTCTTTCGATCGTTGAAGAAAGTTTCTCACTTGGAATTTTAGTTCTCTGTGCAATGAGAGAGAGATTCAGTTACAGAGACTTCTCATATTTCTTGTTTTCCCGGGAAAATAAAAGCGAAGTACTAACGAATCGAGAAATTTCAAGTTGCCCCCTGGATTTGTTATCTTATTATGAATAAGGGCCTATTTCTATATTATCACAAATTTAACCCCGAACTTTTAATTTAGCTTAAAAACCATTACTCTACGCACATCAGTAGCCGAATCGGTGATTACAAGTTTAGAATAAAGAGTTACATTAACATCACGTTTACAAATTGACTTTATGTTGCGAACCAGTTGTCGTTTCGGTTTAAGATTTGCCCGGTTCGGGTGTTGATTAGCTTAGCTCGGTATAAGACTACTATCATCTCCTATCTTCTGTTTATAAAACTTGTTAAACTAACAGCTCTTATTACTATCCGATTCCGAGTATGAGACAAATTACTTATTTTGTAAAAAGACTGCGAAAATATCGGAAACAAATTCCGGTGTCAGACAGGAGACAATAGATAATATCCAGGAGTAAAAAATTCTTCTCCAGATTTTGAATATTAGTCGAAAAGGTAAAGCGCAAGGACTAAAAGAAAAAACTGTCATTCCGCAGATGAGTGGATATATAGATGTGTCTCTCTCTTGTAGTAAGGAAAAGAATGGATTCTAACCATAGGAGATGATTTGCTTGAGGAGTCTTTGATCATGACAATGCTTTTTTAACCTCTGATGTAACTTCTTGGGGAGCCTTCTCGGCGTGGATGTTTGTGAGAACGGCCTTCTTTGCATAGTAATCAATCACCTGTGAGTAAGGGAAAGGAAATGAACATGTTTGCAAAAGATATATCTTCTCATTTTAATAAGCCTGGAAATACATGAAATTGGAATCAATACCGGTTCAGTTTGACTGTGGAAAGCTGCAAGCCTCGACCTTAGAACATCAGCGTTATCATCTTTGCGTTGGATCAGAGGCTCTCCGGTAATCTTCAACAGCAAATAATGAAGAGATTCAGATATTTGGGAGGGGATTTGAAATAAACAGTCGAAAGATATCAAGAGTTACTGTCAGTCTTACATCATCAACTCCAGGGGTTTTGGGAGGCGCAAATTTGGTGTGGTAACTCCTGCCACTTGATGGGTGGATCCATCGCCCAGTTATTCTTTCCTCCAAGATTGAGTCATCAATAGCAAAGTTGAGAACTTTGTCGATTTCAGTTCCTCGCCTCTTAAGCATCTCATCGAGCTGCAAACAAAAGACAAATCACCATGGTGAGAAGTTAATTACAATCAAAACCAAACGTACCAAAAGGAGACCGAATAAGCATTGAGTTTTCCTATTGAGCATCACCTTCTCTGCCTGAGTAACAGTCCTGGGGAACCCATCAAGGATGAATCCTTTTTGACATTTTGGCTTGTTCATGGCTTCATCAATTATACCAACAACCAAATCATCAGAGACAAGCTCTCCCTGAAATAAAAAACAATCACAGAGAATAAAAATACAATAACGGAAAGGAATATATAATAGAATCTCTCTCAAATAAAGATAAAAGGAGCTGACTTTTTCCATAGCTTCTTTAGCCTTCACACCAAGAGGGGTTTTAGAAGCAACAGCAGCTCTTAACATGTCTCCAGTGGATAAGTGACACAAGCAATACTCATCCTTCACTACTGGAGATTGTGTACCTTTCCCTGACCCTGGAGGTCCTGCAAATTCACAATAACAAAGCATTCTCAACATTCTATCCAAAGACCTTGGTTCTCACAACGAAAGATTCACACTTTCAAAACAAAACAGAACAACCCTAAATTTCACCATTGTCTTTGCCATGTACCAGAACCAAATAGTGGAATTTTAGATCCACAAAGTCTCACTTCTTAAAATCAAACAGAACCCAATTGAGAAGAAACTCTAATAATTCCAATAATACGAAACATAACACGAGTTCAAGCTCACTGATAGAATCTCTCAGATCTAAAATTACCCACCCAGAAATTTCGAATTTCACCATAAACACAGTATAATTTTCCACAAAAAACAATGAAAATTCTGGATCCAACAATACTAAAACGAAGCAGGTGCAAATTAAGTCGTATCCGAGAAAAAAAAAAAAAAAGAGGACCGATTTAGTGAGATTACCAATGAAGATGAGGCGTTTGTCGGGCTTCTGAGAACATTTGAGGCGGCGGAGGAGCTCCGACATGAGATCCACCGTCTGAACATCTTCCAAATCCGCCGCAGCACCACCGGTCGCCATAGCTGATCTAGTTTCGCTACTGTTTAGCTCAGAAATCTTCGTTTTTCTCGAAAAGCGTTTTCAATCTCATAAGTCAAAGTGATATAGCAATGACCGGGTCGGGTTTCATAAACTCGGGTCTCTTAATTTGGGTCGGAGCTTGTGATCTCGTGGATGATTATTATAAGTTGTAAACTATACCCTTAAACTCACATTAATTTACATTTATTGCCATTCACTTCATACCAGACATACCTTTAGGCTTTAGTCCAAAAGAAAAACATTTTTGGGGGATTAATTAATTAAGAGTTACGTTATTTATTTCTTTTTCTTTTTTCAATCGTTACATAAATAATAGGGGATTTTCATACACACACGATAACAGAGCATTTAAAAGACTAAGAGAAGAAGAAGCTATGAATATATTAACACTGGTCACCATCTGAAGCAGCTTGCAACTGAGAAGCATACTGTAAATTCCACAAGATATCTTCGAAGGACGGTCGGCTTAATGATTCCGGTGAAACACATTTGTTCATTAGAGTTATCACTCTTATCAATGATCCATTCCGACAAGTGGCTTGTACTGTCGGATTCACCATTCTTCTCCTCCCTTCCTCGATCTCCAACGATGCCTGAAAATATGAACTTTTTAAATAAGTACAAAGATCAAGTCTGGTTTGTGACTACCATCTTGCGAAAACCGTACCAGTTCGTCCCGTAGAAATGCTTCTTCTCTTGCGGATACAGATGGTCCCACGATTGATTGTAGAAGAATCAATCCGAAGCTGTAAACATCGTCTTCTAGCCTTGACATTTGCCATGATTTTGCGATTTCCTGATACAAAAATGTAACCATGAGTGTTTGATCTGGTTTTGACATCGTTAGTAAATGTTAGGATCAGAATCACCGGACTCACACATTGTAGCTATAAGTCCATTAAACACTTTGAAAACAATACTAAACTTAGTTAAAAACCGAAACACTAGGTTCACGTTCACACATTTGTGCTAGTAGTCTAGGTTTCGTTTTAGAAGACTGATTTAACAAAAAAAAATGGGAAACTTGAAACAGAAACAGATACAGAAAGTAACGAGCTTAACTGTGTTATGTCTGGTTGCTTCAGAGACAATGGACAAACCATAATCACTCAGCTTCGCAAACCGGTGTTGGTTAAGCAAGACATTGTTAGTCTTGAGTCTATTGCTGAAGAATCCAGGAATAACTCCAGTGTGAAGAAAATGAACAGCTTTTGCAACACCTGTAAGAACATTCAGCCTCTCTGACCAATTCATAGCCTTACCTGAACTATCATCTGCGCAGAACCAAAAAAAAAAACGCGAAAAAAGGATTTTAGTATTTTTCAGAAATATCGAATCTTTTTGTCGAAAGAACTGCAAAGATTTGAGCATTAAACAAGATTGAACCTGAGAGACAAGATTGGAAGTTTCCATTTGGAATGTATTCATAAATCAAAAAGACTTCTTCGACGCTGTAATCATCTTTTCCTCCACAATCTATGCAATGACCCAACAAGCAAACGAGATTCGGGTGTCTAAGCTTTGCGAGCAAATCTAACCGCAGTTTTAAATTCCTTATTGAGTATTTCTTCGATGAAGGTAAACATCTTATAGCTACTTTTGTTCCATTATCAAGATTTCCTTTGTAAAGCTAAAAAATGTTTAAGTAAATGTCAGAATCTCTTTAAAGAAGATGATGATGCTGAAAAGTGAAAACACAAATGGTTTTCATGAACTTTACCGAGCCATATAATGAGCTTTCACCGAGTATCATGGTCTTATCGAAGTTCTTTGTTGCTTTAACTATCTCTTCTAAGCTAAACTGTCTACATACCGGTAAATTCTCTGAACCAAACTTGGATGTCTCAGAAATGTACCCTAATCACAATCACAAAACAAGATATTATTATAAGTCAAATCTTTTTCGCAATATTTAAGAATTTTGGGTTTTTGAGGAAAAAAATCTTACTTGCATTTGAGAGTATCTCAGAGGAAAATCCAATAGATGGATGATTATCTTGGACAGTATTATGGTGCACATGCTTCTTTGTTACTCCTTTTCTTCTGAGCAAGATGAATACACAGCAGATTAAAACCAATACCGCCATTGATATACCAACGATTAAACCAATTAAAGCTCCTTTCTTCCATTTTCTTTTTCCTGATTCATTTGCAGCCTCTGCTTCTGCTTTTGCTTCAGCTTTAGCCTCAGCGCGAGCTTCTTTAACACAAAAAGATTCTGGATGTTGCTGTTTCTCTAGAGATAAACAGTTTCCATTGAATCTCAACGCAATATCTTGCTTGCTGCTTAAGCAACGAGGAAGTTTTCCGGTTAACTTATTGTCGGAAATGTCGATAAACCAGAGTTTGCTTCCACATTTCAGATCCTCCGGAAGTGAACCACTCAGAGAATTCGCCCTCAAATCGATATACTCGATTGTCGACAACGAGAGTAATGAAGAATGTAGCTCTCCTGATAGCTTATTACTCTTAAAGCTAAGAACTTTGAGATACCAATACGAATCAAACCAGCTAGGTAATGTGCCATTGAAGAAGTTATGATCAAATCTGAAAGTTTCAAGCTTTACCATTGTAGACAACTTAGGTGGTACTGATCCAAACAGAAAGTTATTGCTCAAATCCAAATACTCAAGTGAAGATAAACGATGAAGCTTCTCAGGGAGATGACCCCAAATCCCTAGAGAGGACAGAGTAAGAACCCTAAGAGATTTTAGCCTTGACAGTGTAGTGAAAAATGATTCAATAGAGAATCTATCAGATAAAGTAACATTAGAGATAGCAAAACCCTCAAAGCTTTTGGCCTTTTCCGATGATTTATCACCGAAGATGTTTAGCTCTGAGACTGAGTTAGAGAAACAAGTGATGTTCATCGATGGTGTTGCTTGTAAATAGCAGAAATTGGTCCTGTGATCATACCAAGATTCTAGCTGTTGTGGATATTCTAAGTGTTTTTTCAGCTGAAGAAGAACCTGTGCTTGTGAAGCTTGTAGCTGAGATGAGCCTAAACTGTAGAAACTCCATAGAAGAGATAACAAGAAGATGTATTTGAAGAAACCCATTTATCAGATTTTAACTTAATTTCTCAGACAAGATCTGAGTATTTGATGGACCTGCAACAAAAAAAAAGAAACAGAAGCGAGACACTTCAACATTAAAACTTTTGTGGTTCGGATCAAAACCAAACAGTACCAAAAGAAAACAGAGCAATCTTGAGAACAAAAGCAGAGTAGTACAAGAGCAGAACAAGAGCAGAGTAGTACCTTAAATTTCAAAAGTTGCAAACACTTTTTTCTTTAAACATCAAGACTGAAACATATGGATAAATCAGAGGCAAAAGAGAGCAGATTCTTTCAGTCACCGACACATATCAGTGGCCGTGTAAGGAGAAGAAAGAAAAGCAAGAATCTTCAACGCGTGAAAGAGAGGAAAAAGAGTTTTTTTTTGGTTTGTTCAGAGTTTGTTAGTGAGAATAGGTAAGTGAGAGAGTAACAGTAGTGTAATGTTATATACAAGAATCTTTCTTTTTGATATGCATGAGTTAAATTTTGTGGGGTTAAATCACTCATATCTATAGAAAGTGACTTTATTTTATGCTTATTATCTTTGTAAAAAGAAGACAAAGCTTTTTTGCATCATGTATACAATTATTAAACAAGTACTTATAATAGTTGTTTTTATTTATTCGGTATACATTATTGTCTGGACATCTAGTACATAAGCTTTTGTAGTTGTATGTATATTAATTGGGACCAAGTGATTCCGGAAGAAACCAAAGGAGATGTTGTTAAATGTGGTGTCGTAATAATAATAGTCATATGTAGTTGAATAATAATGACAGTCTTATTTGTGATTTAACAACGATGGAAACAATTAAAACAATGATGATGGAAATATATATTACAACATAAGTAGAGAATTTTACCCAAAAAAAATAGACATAACTAGGGCAATTTGTTAACTAAAAACAGTAATGGTGAATTCTTTCATAACAAATAAAATGGATAGAAACATGTTTTAGATGATTTTACCATGCAATTTAAATATTATTAGATGTCTAGTTTTGTTTGTGTAACATGTTATTCTGTACATGGGCATATATAATTACTAATATATGGGCATACAATCTTCTTAATACTTTACTATTAGAGTGCTTATTGTTTAGTAAGAACCACTTATTCAGAAGTAAAAAGTGGTGGACCGGTGGGTGAAGTTATAAATGCAAATGGTTGAGGCTTCGGGTTCGGGAATTGAGTAGCATTAAGTTACAGTCTGTCTCTGTCCCTTATATATTCGAGTGTGTAAAAGTCAAAGATGTGTACCTTTGTTGACTCTTCAATTCACACTTTTATGTACTACTACTACTTGAACTCAAATGATAATAAGCAATTGGAGGTGAGATTATGGTTTACATTAGTTCATTATTCGTACGTGGTTCAAATGTGGGGTGTGATGATGATAAGTCTTTGATTCATAATATAAGCAAATAGCTATTACAGCAATGTAGTTTGAATATGTTCGATACGATGCGTTGTCATTGAATTAATTCAACAATAGAACACAGATACTCTCTCTTTTAAAAAAATTAATTTCCCAAATCAATGAATTCTGATAGAATAAATTTATGTACATTTATTTTTATACTATAGTATTCTGTGGGGGACAAAAATAATAATATAATCAACGTTATTTTCATATTTAATAAAATACGTATTATCTTTGTCGTCACAATATTTTTATAAAGCCCAAACGGGCATAGATTCAGTATAAAGGAAGGCCTAAAAAGGCCCACTAATTGCAAAACAGTACAAGATAAGGAAGACAATTTTGAGACACGTGTGTTATGCAACGTTGGTTCTTGAGAGGAGAACGACGCTTCGTCAGCTACGCCATCACCGAATATCGAATAAGATGGTTTTGTTTTGCGTATGATTGATGGTAGAAGTGATATTATAGCTCACTGTCTTTGATTTTTCATAATAAATCGTCGAACCGAAAAAAACCGAACCATATCCGAACCGAAGTTTTTAAAATAACCGAATGGTTTGTAAAATCCCCTATCCAAACTAACCGAAACCGAACCGAACCGAACCGATAACCAAACGGTTAACCGAAATATCCAAAATCTTTTTCTATTTAGACTAAAGTTTATTTTTGCTAAGTGGGTAAATATCATATAAAATGAAAATGTTAGGAATTACATGTGCAGAACCTAAGGTTTAGTTCCTTGGCAAAAATTAGGCAATTTAGATGCTTTGCTGCATGATTTTTTTATCTTTTCTATTTCAATAAACATAGTTTGGAACAGATTTGTAAAGATATACTATATTCTTAAAAGGATGTGAATATTGACTTCGATTTTTAAAACCAAAAATATATCCCAATTCAATAAACAGCTCCAAGTTATGTTACGCGTAATAGTAATTATACATTTGACAAAGTTTGTCATCGTTGACTTTGACCAGTAAAAGAGTCACTTGAATATTTTTGGACGTGATTACTCATTGGAGGCTCATAATTTGGGACGTGATTGGATTACTCATTGGAGGATCAATTTCTGTTCCGGAATCGGTATCAGAAGCGCCTTTTATGATATGAATAGACTGAGTCGAATGGTTTAATGGGCCTGGTATTGGGCCGAACACTTTCACTTTTATTTCAGATTGATAGAGACAGTGGCCACTACAAAATGCAGGGCCTGTCCGGTTAAAGAATAACCGGTTTTCCAATCAGTTGAGTCATGAGAGATTGTTTACAAGTTTACAATCACAGACTCATAGAGAGATTGTGTACTCATTAGATTAAAATTTGGAAAACTCTACTCTTTCTTGGACAACATAGATATATTATATAGATGGAAGTTCCAAGAATCTTATTATAGTATAAGAATCACCAGCAGAGATTTTCAAGAAGAAAGTGATTATCCGGTCAACATACATAGATATATAAGATGGTTTCTCTCAATCTGACTCATCAACAAGTATGAGTTGGCTTGTGGTTGATGCTCGGGAAGCAAGTGACAACTCTTTGATCATCTCAAGTTTTGGATTATGAGAATCATCAACAGAGATTGTTGCAGTCTTTAAGCGACAAGCGTTTTCCAAGATGTAAACGGCAACATCTCTCTCTACTGGTCTTCCCAAGTATCCTAACCAGTTGAAAGTTTGTAAACTCGACAAAAGACAATCAGGAACATTAATCGGTTGATTCCAACAAACCATACCACCATATTTATTAACCTGCCATGGAAACAAAAGCATATATTATATTAAAAACCACATTGTGTATTAGACAAAATATAATAGTTTATATTCTAAGAGGTTGATCACACTACCATTTCAAAGAGGTTTAGTACTCGCAAGTTGGGAGAACCTTCGAGCAACCGGACAAGGAGATTAGCCGCATAGTCTGATCCCACACATAGCTTCAAATGTTCGAGATCGTTGAAGACAAAACCGCCAACGTACACAGCCTGCCCATGATGAAAAGGTACTAATTAACAGAGGATTTTATAAACAAAAGATTTGCAACTGATAAAGATGGACATTGGTTTACCTCTGAAGCTATCGTAAGACGCTTGATAGATAATATTGATCCGATAAGACTCTCGAGATCAGGTAAGAAGACATCTACATATGCCTCTTCCAACTTAGGCATATCCTCAATTAAACAAGAATGATTCTCATCATTATAATTCTCAATTTTGAAATACTTCAAAGAAGGAGTATCTACCTTTAACCCATCGATTAAACCATCATAAGGTATATAGATAGATAAACTCTGCAAATACGGGACAATAACGGTGATCATTCCCATATTGTGAGTGTCACTAAAGTCCAACAATAGATCTTTAAGAATAGGACAAATAGATAGAAGCCGTCCAAGAGATTCTCCGTCAAAGTATATCACTTCTCGAAGTTGCAGAGTTGTTAGAGAGGACATAGAAACCATACGAGGAACATCCAAGAGAATCTTGCCTTCAAGATTCAAAGTCACTAGCGATTTGGAGGTATACAAGCTTCTAGGCAAAATGTTTGGCTTGTCCGGATAAGCATGATATAAAATATCCAGCTCACGTAGGTAGTGAGAAATTGCAACTAAAACCCACAATTTGACATCTTCTGGTTTAAAAGGTGAATGAGCTAAGTTGAGACGGAAGCTTTCGATAGCTAGATTTCTTTCAAGAAAATACCTTATATTCTCGCACTCAGACAGTGAACAATCTCTACCAATGAACTCAAGTTTTGGCAACCACATCCAAAGAAACTCCCATCGTCTGGACAAAACGCTAGAGGATACAACAACTTTGGTCGGAAGAAACGATAATATCTTGATCAACAAGAATCTGCATTTTCTTGGGGGAAACAGACAGATACATATGGAAGTTGGAAGAATCCTATTACATAAATGAACACATCTAATGACTAAAACTAAAATCCCTAATCAAATACGAGTTGGCATGTGGTTGATGCACCGAAAGAAGGTTGACAATTCCTTAATCATCTCAAGTTTTGGAATATAGAAACATGTCTCAGACGAGATTGTTGCAGTCTTCAAGCGACCAACGTTTTCCCAAGACGTAAACCGCAAGATCTTTCTCTTGTGGCCTTCTTCCCAAGTATTCTGACCAGTTGTAGGTTTTTAAACTCGACAGAATACATTCATCAACAGTAATCGGTGGATACTCCCAATGCGAATCATAATGATCCTGCAAATGAGAAGAAGAATTAGGTTAAAACCATACTGTGTGCATTAGACGAGAAATAATTGTTTACCGAAGAAACTTGCTACCATTTCAACAATGTCTAGGACTCGTAAGTTAGGAGAATCTTCAAGCAACCGGACAAGGAGATTCAACTTATCTGTGCATACACATAGCGTCAAATGTTCAAGCTGGTTGAAGACAAAACCATCACCATACACGGTCTGCACACGATGAAAAAGTATTAAGAGAGGCTTCAATAAACGAGACTTGAAGATTTGCAGTTGATAGATGGAAGCTGATTTACCTCTGAACATATCGTAAGACGCTTGACCGATGTGAATGATCCGATATGACTTGAAATATCACGGTATCTAACATCTACATATGCATCCTCCAAGTAGGGCATATTCTTAATCAAACATGAGTGACCATCATCACCCCCATCATCAAGATCCTCAAGTTTGAAATACTTCAAACAAGGAGTATCTATCACTAATTCATCAAAAATAATTGCAGTATCACCAGGTACATAGAGTGATAAACTCTGCAAAGATGGGACGTTAACAGTGACCAAACCCATATCGTACGTGTCCCTATCAAAATGTACCACTAGATCTTCAAGAACAGGGCAAATAGTTAGAAGCTTTCGAAGAGATTCTCCATCTAAGTATCTATCTATTAGAAGTTGTAAAATTTTCAGAGAGGGAAGACAAACCCTGCGAGGAACATCCAAACGAATCCTACCACGGAGTTTCAAGGTCACGAGCGATTTGCAGGTATACAAGCTACTCGGTAATATATATGGCTTGTTGGAATAACGATAAGTAATTTTCAGTTTGGTTAGGTGGCGAGAAAGTGCAACTACAAGCCACAGCTTGATATCTTCAGGTTTAAAACAGGAAGATTCCAAGAAGAGATGGAAGCTTTCGATAACCGGAGCTCTATGTAATGGCAGATTTCTATTAAGAAAACGTTGTAAACTATTTTCCTCAGACGCTAAACCATATCTACCATAGAACTTGAGTTTTGGCAACCACATCCAAAGACACTCCCATCGTTTTGACAAAATGCTCGTGGATACAGCAACTTCTGTTGGAAGAAACGATAATATCTTAATCAGCAAGTCATCTGATAACCCACTGATTTTGTCCATAGCCCAAGATACTGTCTTTTTTTGGATATGATCTTCTTTCTTCTACCTGGAAAATGAAAAACCAAGTAAGCACCAGTAAGACTCAAAAAAGGATTTTTTTATGTCTGAAGCTAACCAAGTGTAAACGCATCGACACAAAGTAAGGTGGTGGAGTGTTAAATGATGAGTCTTTTTTTTTTTTACCTGTGTAGAAGACTCAGTGGAGGCTAGATTGCTGCTGAATCAGAAGATCAAATCCGAAGAACTGCGAAAGCATTTGTCAACACTGTATACTTACTTTTAGTTCTGTAGACTGATTATAAAACTTAAAAATCGAAACTTTGAAACGAGAAAAGGAGGAAGACGAAGAGAGAGAGAGAGAGATGGAGAATTGGAATCGCCGATTGGGTTTGTGAATGGTTTAATGCACAAGAACCATAATTGATACTAGTTTCAAGGATCCGTCCGGTTCAGAATCAGCTGGTTAAGGAAGAACCGATTTTCAATCAATTGAGAGAAAGATAGTTTAAGTGGGCCTGGGCCTTGCTGCTAGTAGAAGCCTACCTTTGACAAATCTTTACATTACGGATACATGTTCTGAACAAAAACTCTTATTCATCCATGAAACAAAAATACAAGTGAAACATATGTATATGCTTTAATGGATTGAGTTGTCCTATTTGTAGTTTCATGTAGGTAAGTCATTTTTCTTTGACCCCTAAACCAAGAAACACGATGAACCACTATTGTTAAACGAACACATCTACTGATTAAAAACTAAAAATCCATATTCAAATACGAGTTGCATGTCATTGATGCTCGGAAAGAAGGTTGACAATTCCTTAAATCATTTCAAGCTTTGGAAATAATAAAAACATGTATCAGACGAGACTGTTGCAGTCATCAAACGACAAACGTTTCCCCAAGACGTAAACCGCAAGATCTTTCTCTCGTGGTCTTCTTCCTAAGTATCCTGACCAGTTGTAGGTTTTTAAACTCGACAAAATACTTTTATCAACAGTTTTCGGTGGATGCATATGAACAGTTTCCTGTGGATGCTTCCAATGCATATCATAAGGATCCTGAAAATTGAGTAGAAGAATTAGGTTAAAAAGTTTGTAAAACTCGATATAATACACTGAGGAACAATACTCTGTTGATTCAAACAAACCATGTCACGTACCATATTTATGACCCTGCGATCAAGTTAAATTAAAAACGAAATTGTGCATTAGACCAAATATAATAGTTTATTGATCGCTACCATTTCAAAGAGATCTAGTACTCGTAAGTTAGGAGAACTTTCGAGCAACCGGACAAAGAGATCATAGTCTGTGTCTACACATAGCTTCAAATGTTCAAGATGGTTGAAGACAAAACCGCCAACGTACACAGCCTGCCACGAATGAAAAAGTATTAACAGAGGATTATTTATGGAACAAAAGCAATTGATAAATGGACATTGGTTTACCTCTGAAGATATCGTAAGACGCTTGACAGATGATATTGATCCGACAAGACTCTCGATATCAGGTAAGGTGACATCTACATATGCCTCTTCCAACTTAGGCATATTCTCAATCAAACAGGAATGACTCTCGTCATTGTGATCCTAAATACTGCAAAGAAGGGGTGTTTACCACTAACCCTTTGAGAGAACCATCAGAAGGTATACGGATAGATAAACTCTGCAAAGACGGGATGATGATGGTTATCATTCTCATATACTCATAATCACGACATTCCAGCAATAGATCTTCAAGAATAGGGCAAATGGAGAGAAGCCGTGGAAGAGATCCTTCATCTAAGTATTGCACTTGTCGCAGTTGCAGAGTTTTCAGAGAAGGCATACAAACCATACGAGGAACATCCAAAAGAATGTCGCCCTCAAGTTTCAATGTCACGAGTGATTTGGAGGTATACAAGTTCATTGGCAAGATGCATTTCCTGGACCAACAATAACCAAAAGTATGCAAAATGTCCAGCTCACGTAAGTTGTGAGAAACTGCAAGTAAAACCCACATTTTGATATCTCGAAATTCAAAATATGAATGAACTAAGTTGAGACGGAAGCTCTCGATAGCTGGAGCTCTATGTAATGGCAGATTTCTATCAAGAAAATGCCGTAAATTTTTTTCCTCCAGCCTTTCATGAGACATAATGACGAACTCAAGTTTTGGCAACCACATCCAAAGAAACTCCAATCGTTTCGACACAAGGCTAGTGGATACAGCATCTTTGGTTGGAAGAAACGATAATATCTTAATCAGCAAGTCATCTGATAACTCACTGATTTTGTCCATATCTTTACAAACCCAAGATTTTGAATACAATCTGGAATTTAATCCCTTTTCCGACCCTGAAATATATCTTATAAAAACAAGAAAACACTGTCTGAAGTCAACCAAACGAATTAATAACCACACAGAAAGGAATTGAGAACAAAACCCTAGAAGGCAAAGCTGGATTGTTAGATGATGAGTCTTCTCCTGTGATCTGGAACCGGAACTATCTGTGGACACTGCGAAAGAATTATTTCAATTCTGAATAAACTGATGATCTGTCTGACTTAAGAATCGAATATTTAAAACTTGAATTGAGGAAGGAAGAAGAAGAAGAAGAAGAAAAAGAAGAAACGTTATTAGAAGATCTCAGAATCGCAGAGCATCGAATCGAATCGTTTTCTTCTTTAAGTGATCAGAACGACGGAGCTTCCTTGTCTATGTCACACCACTCACCAAACAGTTTTCGCTTCCCTTCAATTACGTGAAGCAACGGTTTACACTGCCTATAAACCCTAAATGATCTTAAATCTTGAGTGGGCCTGGGCTGAGCTGCAAGTTGAAGCCTAGCTGATGGAAATGGTGTTCTTCAGGAATATACTTGTCAACACAATATCTTTAGTTTCCTCCATTAAACAAAAATACAAATGAAATATATTGTCAATTTTAGTTAGCCTGGATTGAGTTAGCCTAGATTGGGTTGTCTCATTCGTAGTGTCATGTAGTTACTTAAAGTCAAATTTCTTTTATCCTCCTAAACCAAAAACGCAATGTACCAAAATCTTCATTAATGCTCCGAAAGAAGGTTGACAATTCCTTAATCATCTAAGGTTTGGAATATAGAAACATGTCTCAGACGAGATTGTTGCAGTCTTCAAGCGACCAACGTTTTCCCAAGACGTAAACCGCAAGATCTTTCTCTTGTGGCCTTCTTCCCAAGTATTCTGACCAGTTGTAGGTTTTTAAACTCGATAGAATACATTCATCAACAGTAATCGGTGGATACTCCCAATGCGAATCATAATGATCCTGCAAATGAGAAGAAGAATTAGGTTAAAACCATACTGTGTGCATTAGACGAGAAATAATTGTTTACCGAAGAAACTTGCTACCATTTCAACAATGTCTAGGACTCGTAAGTTAGGAGAATCTTCAAGCAACCGGACAAGGAGATTCAACTTATCTGTGCATACACATAGCGTCAAATGTTCAAGCTGGTTGAAGACAAAACCATCACCATACACGGTCTGCACACGATGAAAAAGTATTAAGAGAGGCTTCCATGAACGAGACTTGAAGATTTGCAGTTGATATATGGAAGCTGATTTACCTCTGAGCAAATAGTAAGGCGCTTAACAGATGTGATTAACCCGATATGACTTGAAATATCAGGGTATCTAACATCTACATATGCCTCCTCCAAGTTGGGCATATTCTCAATCATACATGAGTGACCAAAATCAGCAAGATCCTCAAGTTTCAAATACTTCAAAGAAGGAGCATTTATGACTAACAACTCATTAAAAAGACATCCACTATCACTAGGTATACAGAGTGATAAACTCTGTAAAGATGGGACGTTAACAGTGAGCAAATCCATATCGTCATTTTCAGAATCAAAATACACCTCTAGATCTTCAAGAATGGGGCAAATAGACAGAAGCCGTTGAAGAGATTCTCCATCAAAGTATTTATCAAGTAGTAGTTGCAAAGTTTTCAGGGAGGGAAGACACACCCTACGAGGAACATCCAAACGAATGCTACCACGGAGTTTCAAGGTCACAAGCGATTTGCAGGTATACAAGCTACTCGGTAATATGTTTGGCTTGTTGGAATAAGGATCATACCTAATTTCAAGTTTGCGTAGGTGGCGAGAAAGTGCAATTACAAGCCACAGTTTGATATCTCCAGGTTTAAAACCCCGAGTATTAATATGAAGTTGGAAGCTTTCGATAACCGGAGCTCTATGTAATGGCAGATTTCTATTAAGAAAGCGCTGTAAACTTTTTGCCTCAGAGACCCAACTGACGAACTTAAGGTTAGGCAACCACATCCAAAGACACTCCCATCGTTTGGACAAAAGGCTAGTGGATACAGCAGCTTTGGTTGGAAGAAACGATAATATCTTAACCAGCAAGTCATCTGATAACCCACTAATTTTGTCCACACCTTTACAAGCCGAAGATACTGTTTTAGATTTTGTCTTCCTTTTCTTGACCCTGGAAAACGAAACCAAGAAAACAATACCAGTAAGACTCAAATCTAAGCGCAATTTTTGTCTGAAACCAATCAAACATAACCTAGTGTAAACGCAGCCACACAAAGAAACGAGACAAAACCCTACAAAAAGCAGTTGTTTTTACATGATGAAGACTCGATTTCTGCTACGGCGCCGGCATCAGAAGATAATTTGAGAATCGAAAGTGTAGATCTATATGAAACTTGAATCGACAGAAGAAGAAAGAAGATGAAGAAGAAGAAGAAGAAGAAGGATCGCAGCGAGCTTCACTCACCACTCACCACTCACCACTCACCCACTCGACGAATGGTTTAATGAGATCCAATTTCGCATTATAGTGCATATCCGGTTCAGAACAACCGGTTATTCCTTAACCGGTTTTCAATCAATTGAGAGAAGGTTTATTGTATTCGTCGTCTCCCATCCGATAAGAGAGAAAGATAGTTTACAGTCACAGAGATACTTTTCTCACTCATCTCTCTCTTTCCCGCTTCCATCCTTAAACCCCAATTCTTCTCCAGCTCACAAAAACCCCATCTTTTGGGTTTTGTTTTACAGTGATGATGAAACCTGCTTCTTTGCAAGGTTTCTCCTCACAGGCTTCCTCTATCTACTCCGATGTTCGCAGCCCAGCTACTACTCCTTCGAAAATGGCAGCTTTTAGTGCTCTTTCGCTTTGTCCCTACACTTTCACCTTCCGCCAAAGCTCTCGTATTAAGTCTACCGTTTCCTGTTCCGTCACTTCTGCTCCTGCTTCTGGTCTGTTGTTTTTCTTTCTCTCCTCTTCTTTTCCTATTGGGTTCCTGGGAAAATAAGTTATTGATTGATTAAAGGTGCTCCACTACTGTAATGGGTTTGAAGTATTTTGAATTAGCATAGGAAAAAATTGAAACTTTTTGAGATTTTAGGTTGATAGTGGCCGATTTGGATTTAGTTTCTTCGGAGATTCTCATTCTGATTGTGTGAGTATAATCATTTGAGTATGGTTTGTTATGTGCCGTGAATGGACCATATGGGACTGATTAATCAAGTGGTTGTTTTGTGTATTGAGGTTCTTTGTTCTTTTCTAAGATGTTGATTCTGGTGTTATGCTTTTTCTTTCTATGTTTCAGGTACATCTCCATCCTCTAAGACGCCGCGTAGAAGATCAGGTCGACCAGAAGGAGTTGGAAAAAGCATGGAGGACTCTGTAAAACGTAAAATGGAACAGTTTTATGAAGGAACCGATGGACCGCCTCTCCGTGTTCTTCCCATAGGTGGCCTTGGTGAAATTGGAATGAACTGTATGCTTGTTGGAAACTATGATCGTTACATTTTAATCGACGCTGGTATAATGTTCCCTGAGTAAGTCCGGAGATAGATGCATCTTGTTTATATTGGCGACAAGTCATTATCTTTGTATGCGTGGTGTTAACTTTCCGTGTAAAACATTGCTGTATAATGTTACAGTTATGATGAGCCTGGAGTCCAGAAAATAATGCCAGACACAGGATTTATCAGACGTTGGAAACACAAAATTGAAGCTGTTGTTATAACGCATGGTCATGAAGATCACATTGGTGCATTGCCTTGGGTAAAGTCTTCTTCCACTCTTTGAAAAAGCCCTAATGAGCCATAGACCTTTTGGAGATTTCTAGATAGAGTCTAGGTTCTTTTCCTCTATCCATCGTTGGTATCTGTTCTTTTTGACCAATATCCTTTTACATGAGCAGGTTATCCCAGCATTGGACCCTAATACACCAATATTCGCATCATCCTTCACCATGGAGGTGATTTACACCTTGATTCTTGACTTTTACTTTTCTGTTTCAATAAGTGTTATTTTTGTTAACAGCTACTAGCTTAGATGTATAGCTTCAGTTCAAAATGTATGTACTCCAGCTTGCGTTCTTATCAGTCTGAACTGTCATGTACAGGCAATTAGTTGCCTATATTCTATCACGCTTAATCTTCTCTTTGCATTTTTCTCATTGATGTTTTTGTTTGTCTGTGCAATAGCTTATAAAGAAGCGCTTGAAGGAGCATGGAATCTTCGTTCAATCTAGACTTAAGACATTTAGCACTCGAAGGAGATTTATGGCTGGACCATTTGAGATAGAACCCATTACAGTTACCCATTCTATTCCTGATTGTAGTGGTTTATTCCTCCGTTGCGCTGATGGTAATATTCTTCATACTGGAGATTGGAAGGTAGAGTAAACCCCCTCATAACTTATTTCCTGTCCCTTTGTATATAGTCCTCAAGCTGCATGAGATAAATTTGATTGATAACAGATTGATGAGGCACCATTGGATGGAAAAGTCTTTGATCGTGAAGCTTTAGAGGAACTCTCAAAGGAAGGAGTTACGTTGGTAAGGATTTCTGTATAGAGTCATACTCTTGTTATCTGTTGCATGCATATAACTAAGGTTGAAATGGTTATACTGACTACTATAGTTGATAAATTAAAAACAATTTTCCATCTCTTACACAGATGATGAGTGACTCAACAAATGTGTTGTCACCTGGAAGGACAATTAGTGAAAAGGTGGTAGCAGATGCTCTGGTAAGGAATGTAATGGCGGCCAAGGGAAGAGTAATCACAACTCAGTTTGCCTCTAATATACACCGTTTGGGAAGTATAAAAGCTGCTGCTGATTTAACTGGTCGAAAGTTGGTATGTCTTTCCTCCCAATTTTTAGCTCTGACTATGTTTTGCCTATTTTCCATCTGAGATTGTAGATAATTCTCCAACCCCTGCAAGAGATTTTTTTTTCCATAAATTCCACCATTCTCATTCTATGTCATGTCGCTAAATTTTCCTCAAATTATGCAGCAACAAGTTTTAATTTAGGAAGTTAAAAGAACAAAGGTTCATTTGTTTTCTTATCTAGGTCTTTGTTGGCATGTCGTTGAGGACATACCTAGAGGCAGCTTGGAGGGATGGAAAGGCTCCAATTGACCCGTCAAGTCTGGTATAAAACCTTTCTCTTGTGCGATGAATTTGAAGAGAAAACTTACGCGCATTAGCCATTATTGATGCATAAAGTTTGTTTTAAATAAAAAGCGCCAACACCTGTCATATGTTAGTTTGATGATTCAAATAAGTTCTGCTTTCTAATTTCACCTAATTGTTTGTCCTTTCTAATGTTTACGAAGATAAAAGTCGAAGACATTGAAGCATATGCTCCTAAGGACTTACTGATTGTCACAACTGGATCACAAGTAAGTTAATCTTGTCAAATTGTGGAGTGGTGGTTTCAATTCGACTTTCCTAGCTAATTTATTTGTTACCCTTATTTAACAATGAATCTAACCAGGCAGAACCACGGGCTGCCCTGAATCTTGCATCATATGGGAGTAGTCACGCATTCAAACTTACCAAGGAAGACATAATTCTTTACTCTGCCAAGGTATTTATATGAAAATGTACATACATATGCTTAAGAGCATCTAATAAGATAGTGGCTGGGTTCGCTGAGATATATTTCGGTCTAATGTTTTACTCCAGGTAATCCCAGGCAATGAATCACGAGTAATGAAAATGATGAATCGGATAGCAGATATCGGGCCAAATATTATCATGGGTAAGAATGAAATGCTGCACACATCTGGTCATGCCTACCGTGGAGAATTGGTAAGCTGCTGCTTCTCTTAAGACTCTGTTGATACATTCAAAAGTTTTGTTGCCAGCATTCCTTTCTGTTTCTTTTCACTTCATCAATCTTAGGCTTTTAACGCATATGTAAAGGTATAAAGGCAATAGTTCTTCCATTTTCTTTTCTTTTTTTTTTTCTTTTTTGCAAATTGATGAATATCTAAGGGAAATTTTGTTTCTAATGATTGTAAATTTTCCCTGTTTTTAAGGAAGAGGTCCTTAAAATAGTGAAGCCGCAACATTTTCTTCCCATACATGGAGAACTTTTGTTTCTTAAAGAGCATGAGTTGCTCGGGAAGTCTACTGGGATTAGACACACTACTGTAAGTCTTCACCAAAGATTATGAACTCGTGGTAGATAGATAGCTTACAACATATGAAAATACCGATTGTGAAGATTTTTCTGAAAGTTATGCAACAAGTTTATGAGTTTGATGAAATAGATTCAAATTTCATCTGGTAACAAAGTGCCTGAACCGTGAAAACAGAATTTCTGAGACATGTTCAATTTAAAACAAAAATTTCGTGGAAGGATCCATTTATTATCTCTCTGAAATATAAAATAAAGAAACCCTTGTTTGTCTGGTATTTAACCTAGGTCAACTATTGCTGAATGTTTCACTTTTTTTACTTTCTCCAACTTCAGGTTATAAAGAATGGAGAAATGCTTGGAGTTTCTCACCTGAGAAATAGAAGGGTTCTGTCCAATGGATTTAGCTCTCTTGGGAGGGAGAATTTGCAGGTTGGTTTAATTGTCACTGTTGTGTTCTGTTTGTCTTGGTTAAATAACGAGTAGATTGAATAATCCTAGCCTTGCTGTAGTTAATGTATAGTGATGGTGATAAAGCATTTGGCACATCAAGTGAACTATGCATCGATGAACGACTCCGAATTTCTTCTGATGGCATTATAGTTTTGAGGTATATCTGAATTCTTAAATTTCTGTGCTAATGCATCATCGATAACCCTTTTTAAATAATTTACTAATCTCTTTTTTATGAGTTTTTATAATCCAGCATGGAAATCATGCGCCCGGGAGTCTCAGAAAACACTTTGAGAGGAAAAATAAGAATCACAACACGGTGCATGTGGCTTGACAAAGGAAGACTATTAGATGCACTTCACAAAGCAGCTCATGCTGCTCTATCAAGTTGTCCTGTGAATTGTCCCTTGTCTCATATGGAAAGAACAGTCTCTGAAGTGCTGAGGAAGATTGTGAGGAAGTACAGTGGTAAAAGGCCTGAAGTCATTGCTATAGCCACTGAGAATCCAACGGCAGTCCATGCTGATGAGGTCAGTGCGAGACTGTCTGGAGATCCAAGTGTTGGTTCTGGAGTTGCAGCTTTAAGGAAAGTTGTTGAAGGAAATAACAAAAGAAGTCGACCGAAGAAAGCACCTTCACAAGAAGATTCCCCAAAAGAAGTAGATCGCACTTTGGAAGGTTATGTCTCACTTACACATTTGTTGGTGTATATTCAGGTTCTCTGTATGTAATTTCTAACATACTTTACTCATGCAGATGATATTATTGATAGTGATGCAAGACTACTGGCTGCAGAAGTAACTGCAGCATCAACATACACAGAAGAAGTTGATATGCCCGTTGAGAGTTCTTCAGAAGAGTCGGACGATTTTTGGAAATCATTCATCAATCCATCATCATCACCTTCACCGAGTGAAACTGAAAATGTGAATAAGGTAACTAATACGGAGCCTGGAACAGAGGATAAAGAAAGCATCAGAGACGATGACGATCCATCTGATGCTTCAAATTCTGAAACCAAGTCATCACCAAAACGTGTGAGGAAGAACAAATGGAAACCGGAGGAGATAAAGAAGGTAATTAGAATGAGAGGAGAGCTGCACAGTAGATTTCAAGTGGTGAAAGGTAGAATGGCATTGTGGGAAGAGATCTCTTCAAATCTATCAGCTGAAGGAATCAATCGAAGCCCGGGAAAATGCAAATCTCTCTGGGCATCACTTATTCAGAAATACGAGGTCCGTCTCTGAACATATGAAATCTGTAGCTGTTGATTTGATGTTCATGTTTACAAGATCAAAAGCTCCAAAGTTAGCAATTAAGATTGATCTACACATATTTTGTTGCAGGAGTGCAAGGCCGATGAAAGAAGCAAGACAAGTTGGCCACATTTTGAGGATATGAACAACATTTTGTCAGAGTTGGACACATCTGCGTCTAAGTAATGTCATTATCTGGCCAAAAGAATCATCTCCAAATTGCTTAAATTGAAAAAAAAAAGCAGTCATTATATGATGTATGTAACCTGTAAGATGGATTGTCTGTAGAAGCTATCAAAGCAGAAACAAATGCCTAGGGAGAGAAGGAAGCCTTGACAAGTTTTTTTGGTTTGGTTTTACATTCGGTTTGGCTTCAAACACATGACTTAACCGGATTTTGTTCAATTTTGATGATAATGTCGGTTTTATATTGGTTCTACTCCGTTTGTTTCAAATTCAAAACAAAGGGATTTGGTTTGCGACGATTTTATATACCAATCACTAATTTTTAATTCCGGTTTATCTGTTGTACATTGAACCAAAAGTTAAAGTGGAAATGACGTTTTAGCCCTTAAGGTAGCGTAGTCTGCCGCGGTTCGATGCTCCACCGTCAATCGCAGGTCGCCGCCGTGGCAATTTTGGTAATTATGAAAAGAAGATAAAAGTGAAAGAGAGAGACTATTGCAAAGTGAGAGCTGAGTTTCGACGAACTTTGAAGAAGAAGAAGAACGATGCCGAAGAGAACGACGCACACGTACTCGAGCGAGGACGCAGCGCCGGATGGACCCGACTCTGATCTCTTCGTTTACTACTGCAAGCACTGTGGTTCTCATGTCCTTATCACCGGTTCGTTTCCCTATTCACCTACTTCCGAGTTAGGGTTTAGTTGCCTGAAATTAGAGTGAAACCCTATTTGCTCACTTTGAATCAGCGTGATTCTGAACCAATTGGCGTTATGTAGAATGATTTGCGACATTGCTATTTGGTATCCAGATACATTGAGTAGGAATTATGATTGAAAGTTTCAATCTTTCAACATCAGAGCATCATGCTAATGTATAGAACAAAGTACCAATGAGTTTAGATTAACAACAAAGTACGTTTAGGTCCAAAGACTCCAGAGACAGATATGTTTTACATGATTTAGATTCTTGGGTTTTGTTTCAGGTAGAAACTCTGGTAATGTTGATATTTGTTTATGATCTAACAAGTTGGAATGTTTTAAGACTCATTGCATGTTTCATGTAATCTGTAGATTTACTCATGTCCTGAATCTTTCTTATTGGTTTGGCCACTCCTTGAGAACTTGAAAGCTAAGATTTAAATGGTGAAACATGTCGTTAATCGGATTAAGAGTGTAACATGCAAAATTGTGGAGATTGAAATATATATATGGTATCCTTCTATAGTGCGTGTATACTAATTTAGATCCTTTACAAGATACCCAGTTGCAGAAGATGCCAAAAAGGAAGACCGACAGATCGAATGTACTTGACAAGAAGAAGCATCTTGCTAGGTTGAATGTCAGCGAGGGAGGAAAAGTTTTATTGAAACGGTATGTTTTGGTATAGGCTAGTGAGCAAGTGTTAAGCATCAGATTTGGGTTTAACATCTAAAAGTTTGTTTCTTTATGTTTGGTTTGTTACCAGTGGCGAAGGAAAAATGGAGAGACAGTTTAGAATGAACTGTATCGGTTGTGAGCTTTTTGTTTGTTATCGTGCTGAAGAGAATCTGGAAACAACGTCTTTCATTTACATTGTTGATGGAGCACTTAGTGCTGTTGCTGCAGAAACTAACCCACAGGTATAATTGGTTTCTTATAATTTTTTCAATTCCAAGAACAAAAAGTAGATAATTAATCTGTTATGGCGGCACACAGGATGCACCTGTACCTCCCTGCATTTCACAACTCGACGGTGGACTTGTTCAGGTTGCAATAGAAGTGGAAGACCGTGCACAACGTTCTGCAATCACAAGTAAAATCTATTTTCTTACTCACTTGACATGGATCTTCGATTAAACAATTTGATTTACCCATACTTTTTCTGTCTGCAGGGGTAAATGCTGATGATGTTCGTGTGACTGTTGCCGCACCAGCAGCTCGTGGGGAAGCTAACAACGAGCTTCTGGAATTCATGGGAAGGGTACCAAATCAGTCCTTTAATAATCACTTTTCAGGATTTACTCTCTAATCACGAAGTTTCTTACGTTGAATGAGGATTTTTGACAAACGCGACACGACCTCTGTGTTTTCGCTCTTTCAGGTTCTTGGTTTAAGGTTGAGCCAGATGACTCTCCAAAGAGGTTGGAATAGCAAATCAAAACTCCTTGTGGTATGTTGATCCTTCCTTCGAGTCTCTTGAGAAGACTCTGTGAAGATTCATTTTTTAAAATTCTTATTGGTTTTTCTTAGCTCTAGATGATATGATCTCCACCAGATAGACCTAAAGCTTTAGCTAGTAGGTTTTGCCTTTATACTAATGGCACAAGGACCTCTAAGAGTGGTGACCAAAAATAGGTTGTCGCATTGAATGAATTACCCATTCTGATTTATATATGTTCCCCTGAACCAGGTGGAGGATTTATCTGCTAGACAAGTGTATGAGAAGCTTCTTGAGGCCGTTGTACCGTAAAGTCTGCAGTTTGTGGCTGGTGAACGACTAACTGAAGCTCTGCAACTCTTTCGTTAACACCCTTTATTGGTTTGTTGCAGAGAATACCGAGTTTCATATTTTACTTGAGAAGATAGTTATAAACAATTTACTTTCTTCTTTGTTTTCATGCTTATGCGACCACTAGTCTTTATACAATCCCCTATTATTAAAGTTATTATAATTGTCTTTTGTTCCTTCAGAACTATTTACCAATTGAACTAGAAAATGAAAAGAAAAATATCAAAAAGTTCAATAATGGTTGTCACTTTTAATTAGTTGTTTTATTTGGGTGAAATACTTGTGTACGTAATTATTAAACAAAACCTTGAAACGGACCTACGTTGATGTGTATCGCATTTCCAATCCAAACCTCTTCTTTTTTTTTTTGTGTTTTGGACAACCAATCGAAATCTTTTCATATCTCGTCTGTTGCAATATCATAATCATTGTTTATAAAAAAAATCTTATATATTTTGGAAATAACGGTTGATGTTTGGAACCTAATTTACAACGTGTTATATCTTCGACAAAATTTGAACTCACAATAATTCATATCTATGAAGTTTAAATTCTAGATTTAGATAACGGAAATGTGTATTCTAGTGGTTTGTATGAGTGTTATCTCCTGTCATAATTCAGATTAAAAAACTTGATATATAAACACTAATTAGATAATATACAGTTGTTACAAGTCTATAATATCAAACACATTTCTTGTCTTTTTTTATTGGTATGGGAGCTTCAAAGTTTGAATCTAAATCATTTTCGAAATTATAGCTCCATGTAAAGGCAGTAATAGGCAGGCCCGGCTCACTCATCGGTAAGACCCGATGCCATACAAAAAAAATCCTATCTTTAATAAAAAATTTATATATATATATATATATATATATATATATATTTTTACAAAAAGTTATATTTCATAAATTATTTTGTATTTTATAGCTATTTGGACCTGTTATTTTTGTTTATTAATTTTGGGCCTCAATATTACCTTTTAAAATAGAATTTTGGGACCTTTACATATAGATATTTTATAAAATTTCAGCATAATTAAATAGTTAAATAATAGAAAAACTATGAATTTGGACCTTAAATTTGTTGGACCCGGTGCAAATGCACCACTTGCACATGCCAATAACTGGCACTGGTAATAGGTAAAAATGTAAAAAAAAAATAACTGTAAGAGCTAGCTAGAAGTTGTGGCATTAGATGAAAATCATATGTTGGACAGAAGATAACACATGAATTAGAACACCTAAGAACTTAAAAGTTATATGGTCCAGCTCATTATGTAAAGTTTACAAAAAAAGTGATCACGTTTCTTAGCATTTCTTTGGCCGTTTTAGAGAATATAAAAAGAGTTTAGAACTTTACAAATTCGGCTAGGCAGGTTGAGAAAGACATGTCGATCTTCAGCATATTTCTTGTTTTGTGTTTGCTGCCAAATGGTCGGTGACGATAAGTGTTTTAGTGTTGTGTACTTGTGTTAATCCTATTTTAAAAAGTCTTGTAATTTAATTGCTTAGATGATAGTTAATGAAACTTTTAAAATTCGTTGTATCTTACAATATGTCTACACTAATTACAAAACCTATTATTTCAAACAATTTTTCAGTGTATCGTCTGCAGAATAAAACGATCACCATTGAACTAATTAAGCTTTCGTATAGCTAATTTATAATATATATTTCCAGAGGTGACTGTACTGTGACATGTTTCACATGTTTCGGTTGCATCTCTTCGCTGTATCGAACCAATCGTTACTGTAGCCAGTTTGTAATTATATATATCTGCCCCAATCTCTATTTTATTAATATTAGACATACAAATACCTCCACAAATTGTTTAATGTGTGACCTATGTCTATCAAACTGATTAATATATTGCATCCACTTCGATTAGACCACATCACCACATATTGATTTATATATTTTTCTATTCACAAGTAACTGTCTAGGCCCAAAGACTAATCCACGAAGCCTTGCATCCGGGTACGCTTTATCCCATCGTTAAGGGAGCGGCTAGGTATATATATCTGCCCCAATCTCTATTTTATTAATATTAGACATACAAATACCTCCACAAATTGTTTAATGTGTGACCTATGTCTATCAAACTGATTAATATATTGCATCCACTTCGATTAGACCACATCACCACATATTGATTTATATATTTTTCTATTCACAAGTAACTGTGAATCACACACATATATTTATTTATTTGATTTAAGGTATAACCCACACATTTTACATATTAGTTGGATATTCTATAAGGACATGACTTGATTAGTTAATTAATTAAATAAATACATCGAATCACATATGCTCTCTCCTCTTGATCTTCACCTTTAGCCCACCAGCCATGTGAGCCGTTAAAAGAGGAACAAAAACCGCCGCCCGGTTATCACAAACCGGTACAATCTCAAATCGACTCAAAACCGAACCAACCACGTATTTCATTTGTGTAAAAGCCATTTCTTTCCCTATGCAAACCCTTGGTCCGGCTTGGAAAACCGGAAACTTGAAGGAACTGACACTTTTCAAAACCCGTTTTGTACCGTTACTCGGTTCTTCCTCAAACCACCGGTTCGGTTTAAACTCTTCCCAGTCTTTACCCCACACATTCTCCATCCTTCCCATACCGTAAGGGAAGTAAGTAACTTTGTCTCCTTTTTTAAGAAGTGTACCATCTGGCAAAACGTCGTCGTTTGCTGCATGCTTTGAGTCCCAAGCCACTGGTGGGTAAAGCCTCATTGCCTCACAGATACAAGCTTTCGTGTAACTCATCTCTCTCAAATCCTCAAACCCTAACCCTAAAGATCCTTTGTTTCTCACTTCTTCTAGTATCTTCTTCTCCACGTCATCATTTTGACTCAACAACCAAAACAGCCACGTCATCGCTGCCGACGTGGTATCCCTTCCCGCCATAATAAAGCTGATTACACTATCCCTCACGGCTTCTTCCCCGTGGCCAGCGGCGAGAAACCTCGACAGGAGGTCCTGCTTGTCCGACACGTCACCACCGATATCGAGGCTTTTCTTTTTGGCACGGATGATCTCAGAGACAGACACGTGTACGGTCTTGATGGCTTCCCTCAGCCTCTTCTCGCTCCCTACGTTCAACAAACGCTTCAGCTTCCACACGGCGTAAACTGGCTCCGTGGCGCGGCGAGCGCTGATCTCCGCCGCTACATCAAAAGCTTTAACAAGATCCGGAACGGGTCGGGTCAAATCCAAACAATCCGGATCCCAACCCAACGAAACTTTGCATACAACATCGAAAGCAAAGCGCTTCAAAACCTCCTGAAAGTCAACCGTCCCTCCACCGTCCACGGCGGAGGAAAGCACCAGAATGAGGCGGTTTTGGACTTCTTCACGGATGATTTCGAAAGTGAATTCCCTAAGAGAACGCATTGTAAACTCGTGGCTCGCGAGTTTACGCTGTGAGCTCCATAACTCGCCGTCAGAATTAAAAATTCCGCCGCCCAGTAGATCTCCTAGGAGGTCGGTGAAAGGTTTGCCTTTAGGGAAGTTATAAAAATTTGTTTTGAGAATGTGCTCAACGTTTTCAGGGTTTGCAGTGATAATAGTCCGACGACCGAAGAGGAGATCGACGGTGATGGTTTGAGTGGGAGAGAGACGGAGAAGATCTGTGTACCATTGGAGAAGACGGTGGCGGTTTTTGTTGAAGGAGAGAATAGAGCCGACGAGTGGATATGACGTCGGATTAGAGGATGGTGTGGTGGTTTTGGCTTTAAGGGTTTTTGTTGAAAATGAGAAGATTAATATAAACCCTAAGATTGGAAATAGGATGAGAATTATTGCCCTGAGCATTTCCATTTTGGATTCTTGGGTTTCTTGTTTGGGTAAGTTAATTATGTTGTTTTGATGTGTGTTCTTGGTCTGCAGAGGAACTATTAGATACATAATATATATATATATATATATATATAGGAGAATAGAAACAGAATAAAAGTTGTGGCTCCGACCACATCACTTCGATACAGAATACGACTGATTAATAAAGTTTTTTTTCATTTCTTTATTTGAAACATTATTATTTTCAGCAATAAAGCTATTTTCAAAGAAGGCTTACCTTAATATTAGTATTGTACTATTGTCTCAAGTCCCAACCCTAATTTTGATTAATAAAGCCAATGTTTTTACATTTGAGTAGATCAGCAAACGCTGGCATTCATTTTTAACAAAATGGATAAAATGTCATTTTCAGAAGAATGCAAAATTAAAATGGAAAATTTGTAAGCTCGTTTCTTTAAAAATGTCAACCATATAAGCTATTTTTATAATGAAAAAATCATACATACATTGGACCTGACCATTACAAATTGGAATTTTAGGGATTTTGGTTAAATAAACAAGAAAATTTGATATTTAATCTATCTTAAAAATAGTTAAACGTGATCAACAAGTTGTAATTGCTTGAACAGATGGATTTGAGGATATAAACTATAATTAATAAGTATAAAACTGATCACGTTAAAACGTTTTTTGAAACATCATTCATTAAATGTCGACGAAACATGGCAATCACACAGGGACCAAAGAAATGGAGTTAGATTGATGTATACTAATAAATTGATTTGGACAAGCCAGACCACCGCTCTGGTGGCCAAGTCTCCGGCCAAAATTAAAATCACTTTAAGAAATTGACACGGTTCAGACGCTGAAAAAGTAAAACATTTTGTTTTCTTTAGCGGAACAATTTACAATTTCTAAATATATTTTATACTTATTTAGTTAATTAAATGGTATCTAAAAAGTCAAAACTATACTCTCTAGTCTCTACTAACGCATAATGGATTTTAATGTAGAAAAAACATATAAATGTTGCTTGTGTATATTAGGAATAAGAATATCAATTGGCCTTCCTGGAATAGTACAGAGGTTCTTGAATCTTTCACTTAAACACCTAAGTCAGTACAAACTCTATTAGTTATTTATTACTATTACTGTTCTAATCTTCAGCACGTATTTAGACAAAAAAAAAAAAAAATCTTCAGCACGTGATGACAACAGTGATGACCTGACAAATAATGAACTCTGATTCTTAGGAGATCTTTTGAATCAAGGGAATATCATCAAATAATATATATATATATATATATATATATAATACTCATCATTTTGCAATAAATATGATCTTTGTATCTAAGGAGTTGATCCACGTATATATATGCTCAAAGACGGAAATAATTTAAGTTACCAAAAAAGCAAGAGAATCTCTTTACGAGACGAAATTCGGATTCAAATACTGAATGCATAAAATTGAGTGGTTTGTAATCTGTGTATCTTACAATCGATTGAGCTATCAACATGTTTTATTGCCATATGTAGTGTCGATAAGATAGTGAACTATTAAAATCAAGATTACTGAGTCTCATTATGCATATTTGTTTGTTCTCACTAAATTAGCCTAATTTGTTTTAGGCAGAAGAATAATTCCTTACATGAGGACAAAGTATTGGTTGGAGAATCCGCCAATAACCAGACATGTGTCGGATAAGATCGAACACGTTGATGAAATGCTTCAGCCGAAATTTGAAACAATCGAATGCACGATTATTAGCTGTATGTAGAAAAACACAAATAAAAATACACTTTTTTGCGACTACTAGTTAAGTGGATCTTTATCAATTTTTGTGCACGTGGTTCTCGTGGTTTGAAAATTGAGTTTCTCTCATAGATCACACAAAAGTCGGAAAGCTAGTTCCATTGACTTCTTCATTTTTTTTTTTTGAAAATTACCATTGACTTCTTTTTAAGCTCGTGTTTCCCGATATTCATCCACATTTTTAAAAATAATACAACCTCTTTGTCTCATCTGACATCTATGGCTTTGATTGGTAAACAAAAATAAAGCTGTACAGCTTTGACAGTTACCAATCACAAAAACTTTATGAAAAGCGGTACATTATAACATAAATAGTTTTTTTTGACAAAAACAAAAACAAATTAAAACGGTTACGGTCAAATAAGGTTATGGTTAAATACGGTTACGATTAAATACGGTTATAACGGTTACGGTTAAATACGGTTATAACGGTTACAGTTAAATACGATTACGGATAATTATGGTTATAGTTATTTAATGACTACAATACGGTTAATATCGGAGGCGAAATCTTAAGAGTTACCTAACTTATTATAATACTTTTCATAAAATCAAAAAGTATGTTACAAACCAAATTTTCTTCATTTCGAGCAAAATAACAGTATAACATATTTGTTTGAGAAAAAGACCATTTTTTATAACGTAGATTTTTTCATATGCGGTATCATTTACTTTTTTAAAAATTTTAATCTGAACATTCGATAATTGTTTTTGCATTATATGGAGTTACAATTATATTTTTAAAGTTTTAACAATGCGGTTAACCATATGGTTAAATAACGGTTTTCATATGTTTACCGTTAATTAACGGTTACAGTTAATATATTTTTTAACTGTAACTAATTATTTTTTACGGTTAACGGTTACGGTTTTTAACCGTTTTATACGGTTACGGTTGAGAAACGGTCTGTAACCATAACCGTATTTTGGATCGTAACTGGACCAAAAGCTAACCGTAACCGTATTTTGGATCATAACTGGACCATTTTTCAACCGTAACCGTATAAAACGGTTAAAAACCATAATCATTCACCGTAAAACTAGATTAGTTACGGTTAAAAAAAATGTACTAACCGTAACCGTTAATATACCGGAAACGTATCAAAACCGTTATTTAACCGTACGATTAGCCGCACGGTTGACCGTATTATTAACCGCATAATTAAAGTTTATAAAATATAATTGTAACTATGTATAATGCAAAAAAAAAAGTCTCGAATGTTCAGATAAAGATTTCAAAAAAAGTAAATAATACAGTCTATGAAAAAATATCATTAGAAATAATGGTTTTTTTCTCAAACAATTATTTTGGAATGTTATATTGCTCAAAATGAAGAAAATTTTTATTTATTATAGGACTAGTAAATTCATATTATTATTCTAACAATAAAATATTGTTCATTCTATATAATCTTAATTTTCATATGTAATTATATACTAAAGTACATTTTTATGTAATTTTTTTTCTTTCTAAATTCTTAATATTATTTATTATGTGTACTGCTATGATGTTTCCAATCAGAATAAATTTTTAAAATTTGTTCTGCGTTATTTTTTTGTACAGCTTACGTGTTTTATTCTTTTGTACAGCTTTGCACTATTCCCTAACATTGTACAGCTTTACACTATTCCCTAACAGCTAACAGCTCCAGCTAACAGCTAATAGCTTGTTACCAATCAGACCCTATACTTAGTTCTAGATATTTCTCATATTTATCGCCTACTCATTAAATTTTTTTTATCTACTAAGTTTTTTTAACCAACTCATTTAATTAAAATAGACGACAAAATGTGGTGTAGTGGTTTATATTTTTATTTATATTGATATAAAATACAGGGTATATATATTTTTAAATGATGCACAAATTTCTTTTGTAATCCGGCTTTAATAATTGATTGATTAATAAATGATTGATTGTCAATGTGGTTGAATCCTTTAACTCAAATTGGAAGTTATTAAAAAAATGGATGATTTACGTTCGGAACTTATTATTAGTAACAGTATATGTGAAGTATTAAACAATCAGAAATTGTATTCGAAACTAGATTTTTACCCGCGGTACACCGCAGGTTAATTATTTGATTTTTTTATCTTTTTATAAACTGATGAATTTGTTGTATATAATATCTTTTGTTGTACATTGCGAGTCACATGCGTTGTAACTAAAAATAAAAATTTTACGTTGTATTTGTTTTGTTTAGTGTTTAAAATTGTATAATTGTATTTTGATTTGTTAATCCCAGGATTTCACCCGTGATATATTATCTCGTATTAATATCAATCCAGATCCGACCCGTCCCACCATATAATCATGTCCCGTAAAATTAAACATCATTTTGTTATTTCTTTTAATAACACTTTTATTTAAAAGACATATAATTCGAGTCAATTTAAAAGTTTGCTTTCAAATAGTTTCTATAATATATATATATATATATATATATATTTTTTTTTTTTCAAATTAGTGTGTGTTTTTAGACCAATCCATAAAAATATTTTTAAAATGTATATTAAAATACTAAATAATTGTATTTCGATTTGTTAATTTTAAGATTTCACGTGGTATATTGTCCCGTTTTAGATAATTGTAGAAATTAAGAAAATATATGAATGACTCAATTCCGGGTCAGAGTAAAAAAAAAAATATGCCCTGATTAAACGCTCAAATTTGTTTTTCAAAAATGTTAATATAGATTGTACACATACTTTTTTCTTCATCGATTGAGTAATATATGTCCGTTTTAAAAAATTTGAATCATAGCATATGCAGAAAAAATCGAATTTTTTTATTAAGTATATATATTTTATAATAGTTCAAAATAATATAAATATAAGATCATATAAAAGTGAAATGAGAATCATATATTTATGTTTTAATTAGGTAGAGAGGTTTTAGGAAATTAGTTCAAATTTGTTATATTAGCATTAAATAATCATATTTGATTTCTATATCTATAAAAATTGTAGAGAATATGCCATAAATAAAGAGTTTAGGTATAGTAATTAGTTGAGAAAATATATATTTTTTAGATTTTATTGATTAATTTTCGTTTTTTAATTTTGTCAAAAATAAGGAAAGATCCGATTGAAGATTTCCGGGTCAAAATTAAACAAAATTTGACCCGATTAGGAACCCCAAAAAGTGTTGCAAAAATGTATAGTAGATGAAAAAAAGAAAACCCAAGGTTAATTAATTAGTTCATATGCAAAATATGGGGAAAATATGTGTAAGATTGGTGTAAAAAAAAGATTGGTGTGAGCCTGTCACGTTGTGACCAGAAAACGGCGCCGTTGGAGAACTGGGTCCATTAAGTACATGAGCTCTCTGAACCATAATAAGCATCGCAACGAGTTTGTAGTATTAGAAAATGCCCACAAGACCACAAGTGTCCCCATTCTTTGCTTTGATTTGACACACAATTATTTGTCATAACGAAAATTGTCGTTCTTATAAAAGTACTTTCTCTTTCATTTTTCGTTCTCACAACTTCATTTTCACCGTCCAAGGAGACTCGTGGTTTTGAGTCACACTAATTTTTATGATGCTAGAATATTAGAAATCAATCATTTAAATATCAGCTGAATAAAAACAAGAAGTTATGAAAAATAAACTAAAACTTTACTATCAAGATTAAGAAATTATTTCAAATTTTAATAAATTAACAATTAATTTAGAAATTTAACACTAGATTTTCACCGTTAAATCATAAAGTCTAATCCGTAAAACCTAAAATTTTAGCGCTATTTCTTTTGTTTTATTCATTTTATCCCCTAATAACCAAATATATACAATGGTTTATGTGTTTGTAATTTTTTATCAAAATCGCCACAAAAGGATTACTTGGTTTCACTTTTTGGTAGGTGAACAGGAATTGAAAATTTTCATGTCTCACTTTGCGGGTCAAATGTTTTGGCTTACCTAATTCTCCTTTGACTCTTGACCATTGTGTTGTACTTAATATAGGCCGGCCCAATGCAATTCCATCACATTTTTGGTTACACCAAGACCGTCTGGTTTGTTTGGTTTGCTTCACATATCAAAAGATGAAATCCATGTTACAAAGGTCACCAAACCGGATTCATAAATTAAAGTAGCCTAATTCCTGATAACAAATTCTCCAGATGAGATCAGAAGGATTTGTATTTGATCAAGAACAACAACAATTTTCATATCACAATTTTCTCCTATTTGGGAAACCTCTAAAGATACATATATTCACCAGGGAGATTTCTCAACTTGATTTCAGTTGGCACTCTTTAGACGCGCAATGAGCTCATCCTGCAAAACCAGTCAAGTTCCATAATCAATAAGTGCGATAAACAAAAACCGGAGGCAATACAATCTAGTTGAAGATAAACGCTTTAAGATATTATTGTGAATACAAGATTAAGAAGCTTTCAAGAGTTTTAACAGAGATTTATATAAAAAAGACATTGGCATATAATTTGACTTGCCTTTCTTCCTTTTGTTGGAAGGCCCTTCTCCTTGAGCAGGGCACGGAGCTTCTCAACTGTCAAAGACTGAAAGTCTCTTTCGCCAGTGCGACTGCTTGATCCCTCTGTGCACAAGAAATTCATTGTTTAAACTCCAAGTGAGATATGATATTGAAAAGTAAATAAAATAGAATTAAAGGTATAAAGAGATAACCTTGTCTAGATGCATTAGCAGCTCTTTTAGCTGAGCTTCTGTCGTCCAGAGCCCTATTTGCAGCCCTACGATTAAGAAACAGTAAAAGATGAACAAACCAGTTTTGTAGCCAATAAAAGAAATGGACAATTCTCATAAGAGAGTATAAGTTTAGAGATTTCCAGTCAGTAAGATTAGTCATGCGAGGGAGGCAAGAACTAATAAAGTGTTGTTGTTACCTCTTTTTAGGACCATCTTCAGCAGTTCCTTTTGAGTCTTTAGAACTAGATTCGCCTTTTTGCTTCTTTAACAAGAGAGATCTAATTAGTATATTTTGCTGGTTTGTTTTGATATGCTGTCCTTCTGGATATATGACAAAATAAAAATAAGTTAGGAGTTTTTAGCAAGACATTTAACAAAAAAAAGTTTACAGGAAACAATGGCTTGTTACTGAAACGCAGCTTATTCTGAAATAGATAATCCAGTGGCCCTCAATTACTTTTACAATGTAGCCATATATCTCAGCGAGAGAGAAAATGAAAAGGAATTGCTTTATGAGACTGCTGCAGGAAACTGTCTCTAAGAAAACAACTCATCGAACAAAACAGAAAAAAGAATGGAGTTTTTAGAAAAGAATTACCTGGGGGAGACGTGTCATGCTCACAAATGTAGACCCGCAAGCTTCCCTGAAATCTTAGACAAAAGAAAGTTACTAAATGTATGATTAAGCTTTAAAGAACGAAGCTATTACTACAAAAATAGATGAAATAACTTCAAGGAAAGAAACACTCTGGAATTTGAGATCCTGCCAAGTAACTACATTCACAGGAAAACTAGAAGTGAAGGATTTTGTAAGAAAAGAAATTGTAAAACAAGAGTAGTCAATGTCCAATATGATCGCACATAAGAACTATGCATTTCTGAGTCCAACTTTTGACAATAACACAACGATTCAAAGCAGTAATTAACAAGATTGATTGTCATGAATTGAAGCAGTATAGTATTAGGCCAGATTAGTAAGTGAACTCTTGTACTTATCATTACACAATTCAATCACAAATCTCAAAGCTTCAAGCATATATATATACATGGAAATGGTAAAATCCAAAGTACAAGCAGAAACTTTGAGCCTATTGGCAAGAATTACAATAACAATTCAGACAAGAATTATCTGATTAAATTCTACCCAAACCAAACGATCTGGAACTACAATCGAGTGAGCAAGATCTGATTGAGCGTGTTGTCTGGACGACCAATGAGTTTTTAATTTGGAACAAAAATTGAAGAAGCATATAAAAGCCAATCACTTGGTAAAACCCAAAAAAATACAAAATTCGGAATCCAAAGTAGACCTTACAACTACATAACAAAAAAGGCGGTAATGAGTGAGTCAAATTACCGGATTGGAAGAGACAACGGTAGAAGACAAGAAACCGCGAGACGGGAGGTCAGATAGGAACTTAGAAGCCGTTTGGTCAGAAGAATCGGATGGCTGAGACGATGAAGCCTCCATTGACAAACCACTGATAAACCCTAGCCGAGGCCGACGAACCGAGAGAGAGAGAGAGAAGAAGAAGAGGAGAGAAAGGAGAAGAGGAGAGAAGCGGCACAGAGAGAAAGAGAGTCACCGTCCGATTGCGTCTATTGGAGAAAGATATGGGCCTTTATTGGGCATTAAGATGATTTTAACTTCATACTTTATTGGGTCTCTTTCTAAACCGGTTCAAAATTACCACACCAATTGATAACAATCTTGGCTGTAAGTTAACACTCTGATTCACAGCAACTGAAAATACACACACATAGAACCAAACTAGCCAATATCATTTTGATCAACAAAAGAAAAGTATTTAAGTTTCCCTTAGATTTACAAAATTTTAAAACTTGTCATCTTTAGGCTCCTTTAAAAGAACACTTAGAAAAACTCGAGATATCCAAAAATATGCTCTGCTCATTACTACTAGATTAGGAGAAAGACTCAAAAAGAATACAAAAACATAAATTATAATCTGCTGCACATTAGATTAATATATATAGTTAAGTAAGTCTGCAGTTTTGCTGCAATAACTTAGTATAAGTTAACAGAAAGAATAAAGAGCTTTCTTTTTTTTGTTCTCTCTCTCTCTCTCTCTCTCTCACAAAACAGACATAGTAATCAGATCGATGATGATTTAACCTCTCAGCTTCTGGTTCCATAGCTTAACTGTACAACATTGTTCCAAAGAATTGAAAGATGTGAGTCATATTTACAAAAGTTTGAAGCTGAAGAAATGAGCCAGAGGATTTGAGCTTAAGTTCTTTGACAGACTATGTATGAAGGGACTAAACATTAGTATTAGCAATTTAGCTTATTCGACCAGAATCAATGAAATGATAACATAACAGCAAATTCATCTAAGACTAATCAATTTCAATCTCAATAACCATTGATAATCGAATTCAACAAGCTACATTGCTGAATATTACTAGAATTCCACTTACCCTTGGCTATCGAGATTACCACGGCCGCTACTTCCTCCACTTCCATAAGACACATCATCACCACCAGCTGAATTCTGCCAAACGCTTTGCCATGCCTGAGAAGGAGGCTGAGCATAAACACCGCTAGGATCCATCGCCGGTCTTCCGATCATCATCCCTCCAGGAACCGCCGGTTGTCCCATCGGTGGATAATAATAAGGAACACCGCTCGCGGCTGGAGCAACCATACCTCCTCCACCAAGAGCCGCCGCCGCTGCATCTTCCTCTTCCTTGATCTCTTCCCTAGGAACAATATCAACAAGGAAATCGAAGATATCGGTTCTAGTAATCGCAGCAGCGATATCGTTTTTCTGAAGCGTACGACGTTTGTTCTCTTCAGCGTGAAGCCAAGATCTAATCGTAAGCTCGAGAATGAAAAGCTCACAAGCTTTGGCGAAGAGAATCGGTGCTTCGGCGGAGATCATACGCACATCTTCATCAGCTTTCATGATTTTTTTTATCCGAGCTAGAGGAAGCTGATGGTTTTTGAAATCGTTTACCTGTTCGATCTCTTGTCTCTGGTATTTCCAGAACATTTGAAGCTGTTGTTGTTGTTGCTGGTGGAGGTGGTGGTACGTCGCTCCTCCTCCGGTCACTATTGATGTAGATCCAGATGCAGGAGGAGGGATTACGGTTGTGACGGCGGAGCCAGGTGGATAGACGGAGGTTGGTGGTGGTGGTTGGTTGTTGTTGTTGTTATTGTCCATTGGATCTATGCGTTGTGATTGGATCAAAGATCAAAAAAAAACGTTTTAGATAGTTTTTGTCAAATGGATTGGAGTAATAGTGGATAAGGTGGATAGCGATGTACCTGATTTTTTCTATTTTTATTAGTCTATAAAAACTATATTATTAATATACTAGTACTATTATTAATATACTAGTACATAGTTGTCTATAAAAACTATATTATTAATATACTAGTATATAGTTTGATAAACGACGCCGTATTAATAGTTGAGTAAACGACGCCGTGATAAGGCGTGTTCACTGTGCTGGAGAAGAAACAGGTTTCGAAGACGACGATGACGACACAGGAGCTAGCGATGGAAGGAGAGAAGCATTTGGAAGAAACTATTGAAGCGGCTTTTCAGATAATTTCAGCCATGAATGATGAGCTTTGTAATCCTTCTTTGTGGTCTACTTCAGCTACCCCGAGTTCCGCCGCGACGGCGACGGGTTCTAATGGTTCGGCTCTCGTTTCTGTCGATGCGGCTGCGATTGATGGAACATCGCATCATTCGGAATCTGGTGGTGGTGGTGGCGGCGGAGGAAGCGGAAATAGTGTTTTGGATGAGGCGAGTCTTCGGTATAAGAACTCAGTGACTTCGCTTCGTGCTGTTCTTGCTGCGATTCCAAATTCGCACAAGGTATTGAACATAATGTGATGTTACTAACTATTTCGGGAAGCCTTTTGTTCTGAGATTTGTTTCTGGACTGAGGAAATTTGAATTCCTAGGGCTTCTTGAGATATAGATTAGGAAATCTTCGAATCAATATGCAGCTTGATCCAATCGAAGTACTTGTAGAAAGTCCTGAGGAATGTAGAGAGTTTAGATGAAGGATCTAATGCTTGTTGAGTTTTCTTGTTCTTCATTTGTTGCGAACTTGCCCTGCATCTATTTAGCTAATTTCAAATGAGAGCTTTTGGTTTCCTAATCTTGATTTTTGTTCATCCATTACAGGCAAAAGCATCTGAAATGGAAAATGGTTTCGGATCTCCTGAAAGTGAAGACGAAATCGAAAAGTTGGAAGAGCAAGCCTTAAGTCTCAGAATGGTAAAGCTTTCTGCAATTTTCATCTCGTTCATTTTCTATCAGAATTTTACTACATTTGTACAGTTTTTGGTGTCGATTTCTGTAACTGTAACTTACATAGCATTGAGTTTGATTCATATTTCTTGTATTAAGTGTTCTTTTTTGCCATTGTGTAGTGTAAGTGTTTTTATCATTATAGCTTAAGCGGTTCTAGAACCATGGACATGTTGATAATTTTTTGAATCAATTCAGTCATCTGGTCATTTTGTTTCGTTGTTAATAACCTTATGGGAAATGATTATTTTGTTCTTCTCGGTTGGCATTAATAAACTGAAGCTTTTGTGCATGCAGGAGATTGCAAAGAAGAATGTTCATGTCAAAGAACTTATCGATAAACTTCGGGAACTTATAGCAGATATCTCTACATGGCAAAGCCCTTGTTCTGTTTGAGTTTGATTTTTTTGACAATAGTGAGATCAGTTTAGACAAAGATTCAAAGTCTTGTTCTTGAATTCCTCATTGATGTCTTAGTTTTAGATATTTGTTGTTTTGATATCATGAAGCCTAAAAAATTTCAAAGATGACTTTGTATATAAAATTATTTCAGACAAAACCTTCAAAATCTGTGTCTGTTTTTCTTTTTTTTTTTGTTTGTATTGTTCTGTTAAAGAAACACTTTTTGTAGTGTTTTTGAGGAATCAATGACCGAATTTTCTGAGAAAAGCCATAAAACCAAGACCAGCTACTAATGCTGCACCAGCCGCAACTCCACTATAAGCAGCAGCCCAAGCGTCTGTCTCTACATACTCCATTGATTCTGCTGATCCTGATGCTCTTCTCCTTCTTCTTCCTTTGCCTTCTCTTGAATCATCCAAATGTAATCTCAGACTCTGTAATTAATTAAGAAAGCAAAAAGGGTTTATGGTTTATGGGCAATCTCATGAAGGTTCTTGATGTTCTTCAATTATATCAACCAAAGCTCTAAAGCAGGAGAAAAGCGTTCTTTACCTTCCAGCCAATTGATTTTGCATGTTCTATGGCTGCTTGAAGGTCACTATCTGAAGCCAACAACACTTTATCATGGTCTTCGTCTTCATACTGCACATTATAACCATCATTTTAACATTTCAGGGGTGACGAGAGAAGAATTAGATTGCATCATTGTCTTATGTAAAGAAAATATTTACCAAAATTTGGGGTAAGTTATCTGGATCGATATCATCCCCTACCCTCTGAATGATCGCGGTTATCACCTCTGTCAAACTCCGAGTATCTGCAATTTAAGACCCAATCCAGTTTAACTAAACGCACGACTACAACTATTTATTTGATGAACAAAAACAAAGATTATGTTTTACCGCTAATGAATCTGTGTTTCCTGTGCTTTTTGTCTTCAATCTTGAATGAAAATGTATTTGCAAAAGGGAAAGATTTTCCTGTCTCAGCTTCGGAAGCAACTTTCATGGAGCTCTCACTGAAACAAATTGTTCCCCATATTGCCAACCAATTCAGCAAAACTAAGCTTTATTTCTTTATTTGAAAAGAAACCCATAAAAAGTGGATCAAAAGTGAGACTAGCTAATAACCTTCTCGAGTCCTCATCGTCCTCATTAGGAGACAATGCCATTGCTGAATCCCAAAACTTTTGCATCATTGTGTTTGTCGCCTCATTACCTATTCCCGCTGTAGTTCCAGCCTGAACACATCAAAATAACTACAAGATTGAAAACATGTATCTAGAGAAAAGAGAACAGTGGAACGAAACAAGTCACAGGCGGTTCAAGAGAAGGGAATTACTGTGGCAACAGCAGCGTGAGTGACATGGATTACATCGACAACTGCAACTACATCTCCTTCTGCAATCAGAAACCCATTTATAGTTTACAAGTGTTTGCCTTTTAATTTTTGCAAGACTTTACAATAGAAAAGGTTCTAGACTTCTTACCTTTGTCAGTAACAGGAAGGTGTAAGAACTTTCCCTCGTGCATGATGTGCAGAGCTTCAACAATTGGTGTGTCAACTATCGTAGATTCTGGATTTTGAGTCATAACCTATGTATTAATGAATAAGAACAAAAGATTAAATTAAAGAAAAAGGACCAACTATCACTAAACTAGAAATAAGAGTCTAAGACGGTTGAAAAATTGATCCAAAACTTAAAACTAGAAACTTGATAATACAAGACCCTGAAGAGGAGACTAAACTTTTAATCCTACCGTTTCCACTAGAGTCTCAGATGGAGCAAGATTTTCAGCCACAACCCGCATCAGTATATCCTTGGAACTAGATAAATGAGAAACAAAACTCTTGAAAGTTAGTGATAAGTATTCAAAAGAAAGACAGAAGAGTATAGCCAATGATAATCTATTTAACAAGTTAGTCAGAGTGAAGAATGCGAATAAATAGGAGATTAAACAGATCTGCCCGGCCTCAGGGAATTTCATTTGGTAAATGTGGTTTGGTTGAGCTGGGATTCTCATGAACAAATTCAGCTGTTCTAGTTTTATATATGGGTCTTTGCAGAAGTAGATAGCCCTATATCAGTCAACTAATATTATATTATCAGAATGAAAGTTAGTAGAAACACTTGAGCCGAGAAATGAGGATGAATGTAAGGCTTTCGGAATCTATAGGGTAAAGAAGACAAAACTTTAAAAGCTTTCAGAAGATAGAACTCACGTAAATATCCCTCGAAGCTTATCCTCGATTATCACAACTGCACAGCTTGATTGAAATTCAACCATCTTCTTTGCTACAGTCAACACTGTGTCTGTCGGTGAGACTTTTAAAACCCTGAACAAACAGCAGTGTTAAGTTGAAACAACAAATGAGACAGGAAACCGTCAATCAAGATTGTAAAAAGAAGAAAAAGAAGAAATTACCTACTTTGTATCAGCTGGTATAATTGTTGATAAAGAAGGTCTAAACATCCGGTCTCGTAGCGTTTCAATGAAAGTGTTGGGAACTAAATGAAAAAATCAACATAATGAACATTTCAAAATCCGATAAAATAAGAAGCAAACAATAAATGAGATTTGAGCAGTTCCTCGCCGACCTGAAGTGTTTGTCCCCCAACTTTTTTCAACACCTTCAACAGCAGCAGCTATTGCCTTACCTTTCTCAGCTGCCCTCTCCATACGAGCAATCGCATCATACAGACACTTTGCTATATCTAATAAAGCAATAACTTCGCCATTTTCAACAACAGGCAGATGTCTGAATTTTCCTGTAGTAGATTAGGTTAAGATATAGCCTCATTAAGGATCCATACACGGATATCAGATAAACATCAGGTTTCTCTATCTTAAAAACAATCAGACAAACCTTGGACCATCTTTTGGAGGGCTTCAACAGCAAGTGTTTCAGAGAGAACAAACATTGGGTTCTTCGTCATAACCTTGGATACAGGTGTTTCCTCGACATTAACTTCCTGTGAAATCACTCTTGTAGCTATGTCCTGAAAATCCAAAAAAGACGACACACAGAGAGAGATCAAAAAAGTCTCCATTTCCTTCCATATGTCTTAAAAGTTTTACCATGTCATAGTGTCATACCTTATCAGTAAGAATCCCACAAAGCATTTCATTAGAGTCAGTCAACAACAAAGCATCAACTCGTCGGGAAGCCATCCTTTTACAAGCTTCATAAATAGTTGTTGTTGCTGGTACTGTAAGAGCTTTCGAAAGCCTCAACCGTTTAACAGTTCGCTCGCCTCCTGTTAAACCCCTGCTCCATATCCAAATCATCATATACCAAATCACAATAGCTTCAATGGAAAAAAGACAACGTAAAACTAATTTACGCCTAGAAACCTGAGGAGCTAACAATGAGAGAGCGAGAAGAGACTTACAAAGGAGAACGAGAAACAGTAAGAGATCTCCGGCCAGTGTCGGGACCTCGTTCACCGATATCCATGGATTTCTTCTTTCCGTGCAATGACGCAGTCGTAACAGATAAGCTCCGTCTTGATGACCCGCCTTGGCTAGCCATTTCTACTGTATATGATGGTTTTGAAGAAATCAAACCCTCGGAATCGTCAACGCTTACGACATGATTACCAAAAATTCGTATACGGAAGGTTTTTCTGGAATCGAAAGCAAACGCGAAAGAACAAAGACTAATAAAGAATCAAAAAACTCGTGGAATCAAAGCTATTACCAGGCGAAATTTGTCGGGTCAACAAATGGATTGAAAACTGAGCTAAACGAAGTTGGGATCAGTTCCGTTTCGTAGATGCTCTTCTCTCCTCCTTTCTCAAAATGTTCGTGAGAAAGATAACGGCAAGAGAGAAAACGACGATTTGTGAGAAGAGAAGGATTACACAGATTCTCCCGGGAAAGTGATGGGAAAAATGTAAGAAATTAGAAAGAAAGAAATATTCTGTGATTTTTCTCTCTGAAAACACGTTTTGTTTTGCAATTTTTCCCCCAATCGGATTCTTTGAGCTCTACGATCGCTACCTTTTTCTTTTGGTCTTTTGCTTTTTATTTTGGCATAGTATTGATTTCTTATAGTATTTGGTTATTGACAATTATATCCTTAAGATTTGAGAACTTGACAAGTGGAATCAGAGATTTGTTTCTCATTTGGCAAAAGGTACTTTCGTCATTAGCTATATATGGTCATTATTACACACGAGTTGATACATTTTGGATTTTATTTTTATACTGTTTGATAATTGGATTTCCTTTTTTTTTTGGTCAAAATTTTGGATTTCCTTTACTCTTTCTTTTTAGCAGTTGGATTATGTCTACGACAGAAAATTCAAACTGATGTTTTCTTTAAACAGATTAATTTATAAATCTATGTTTTATCTGGATAAAAACGTGTAGATTAAAAATAAAAATGAAAATTAAAACTATCCACTCTGTCTCATTTTTACAATGTATTTAAGGATTTGTTCCATCCATGGTTATGAAATCTGTGTGAACCAAAAATTAGTATACAGAAATTTTAATATTCAACTTTTTCACAGTGAATGAATTAATGTCACAACAATTTTGACCAAAAAAGAAAAGAATTGATGTCACAACAATTTTGACCAAAAAAAAAGAAAACAATTAATGTCACAACTCACAGCAATAACGAAAGCCTTCAGGTGTATATGCATTAGATATGAATTAGCATGCTGGGCCGAAAACTCAGAGCCCATATTTGTAAGATTCACGTTGTTCGAAATATTTTCCCCCAAAATAAATAATTATTTAGTTAAACCTAAAGTATGTGCACGTGGATACCAACAATTGGTTCACCACACCATTAGCTTTCACATCACACGAGAAGCTTCGTCTCTAACTAAAACCAAAAAAACTCCAGCTCCTTCACCACTCTCTCTCTTTCTCTCTAAATTCATTTTCTCTCTTTAGAACAACAAGTTATGGCGGATTGGGGCCCAGTGTTGATCGCAGTGATCCTCTTCGTAGTTCTATCGCCGGGACTTCTTTTCCAGATTCCGGCGGGAGGTCGAGTTGTCGAATTCGGTAATATGCAGACGAGTGGCGCGTCGATTCTCGTTCACGCAATCATCTTCTTTGGTCTCATCACTATCTTCACCATCGCCATTAACGTCCACATCTATTCCGGTTAACTATTGTAGCCAGAAAAACCGGTTCTGCTTGTTTTTTTTTCAGTTTGATTGCAAGATCTGGATTTGTTTGTAACATTTTCGGATTTGTGAATATAATCAAAATTTCACCAATTTGATTTTTGAATCTGGTATCAGTTTGTGGAGTTTGTTTGGGATCTGGTTTAATTTGGTTTTCAAATGCCACTTGATAATATTTACATCCACATAATTAATGAAACGACGACGTTTTACTTATTATTGGGCTTATAGATCATTGGTCCGTTAAAAAGCCCAATATGTATCTCGTTTCATTTCAGGTGAATCTTTCGACAACCTCTCTCTCTCTCTCTCTCTCTCTCTCTCTCTCTCTCTCTTTTCCTCTTTGCAAATCCTTGAAGAAATCCAAAATCCATAGCAATGGCGACTTCAATAGCTCGATTATCTCGGAGAGGAGTTACTTCTAACCTGATCCGTCGTTGCTTCGCTGCGGAAGCGGCGTTAGCGACGAAGACGGAGGTGCCTAAGCCGCAATTGACGGTGTCGCCGTCGCCGGATCGTGTGAAATGGGACTACAGAGGCCAACGACAGATCATTCCTTTGGGACAGTGGTTACCGAAGGTAGCCGTTGATGCTTACGTGGCACCCAACGTTGTGCTGGCTGGTCAGGTCACAGTCTGGGACGGCTCGTCGGTTTGGAACGGTGCCGTTTTGCGCGGCGATCTCAACAAAATCACCGTCGGATTCTGCTCGAATGTACAGGAACGGTGTGTTGTTCATGCCGCCTGGTCGTCCCCAACAGGTTATTTTTTTCTCCATTTTCGGAAATTTGTGTTCTGATTATCCAATTTTTGGTATGGAATCAAGACAATGTTGATTGGGATTTAGGGGTATTCATCGTCTATTTTCAGTTAGAAAAAGCTTATTGAAGATTCGAAAACTTAGATGGATAATAAAGTAAATTGGTTCTACAACATAATGTTCTCTTGTGTACAGATTTTCTTGTTTGAAGAATCGTCTACTGAACTGAGGCATTATTGCGTTTTAACTTCGCCGAGTATGTGTGTGTAAACGTGTTGTTCTTTAAGTAATTAGCGTTACAGGAATCAAGAAACTGAGTGAAGATTGAGCTCAATACTGAGATTTATATAGATTAGCACGGTAGGTTGTAGACACTACCACACACGATCATCTTGTGTAGAAGTAGGAAGTTTCCTAGCAGAAAGTTGGGAACAATGTGTCTGTAAAGGGTTTTTGAGTGACTTCTGCAAGGATTTGGTTTTCTGGTTACTCGTGACTGCAAGTATCACAAGGATGTGTGCTTGTTTTTGCTCCAAGGTTTAGGCAAGGGTCCATCTCAATGTTTTTTATTATATCAACATTTGAAGAGAGACCATTCTGGTTTGATAGGGTCTGAAGAATTTATTTGATTCGAACAGTATCTATTCAACTGGTCACATTGATGAAATTTATCTATCAAGGCTAGATTATGTCTTGGTTTTGTTTTACATAACACATTAAATCTTTACTCAATTCTGCAGTTCTTACTTGTGATAATCAAAATTTGATTCTGGGGTAACTGTCTACTTTAAATTTTCAGGATTACCAGCAGAGACAATTATCGACAGGTACGTGACAGTGGGCGCATACAGTCTTCTGAGATCATGTACCATCGAACCAGAGTGCATCATTGGCCAACACTCAATACTAATGGAAGGATCTCTGGTCGAGACCCGGTCAATCCTGGAAGCAGGTTCGGTTGTGCCACCAGGAAGAAGGATCCCATCAGGTGAACTATGGGGAGGCAATCCAGCAAGATTCATAAGAACCCTAACCAATGAAGAAACACTAGAGATCCCAAAACTCGCTGTAGCCATCAACCACTTAAGCGGAGATTACTTCTCTGAGTTCCTACCTTATTCAACTGTCTACTTAGAGGTAGAGAAGTTCAAGAAGTCCCTTGGGATCGCAGTTTAGAAGCTTGTCTTTTTCGTGATTCACTTTCATGTGCTTATCTATCATATGAGGTCTCTCTATCTCTCTCTCTCTCTCTCTGCATATTGCAATAAGTAGCTGAAGAACATCAAAACAAGTCCGGCTCTTCTTCGTTTTTGGTTCTCAAATGTTTGTCTTCTCGTTTTTTTTTGGGTTCTTTGTAAAATTCCATTTAAACTGATTTTGGCTGGATAATGGCGACAACTTCTGGTTTTGTTGTATGTGAGCAAAGCAAAGATTTGCTGAGAGGCATAACTTAATACATATAAACAAAACAAATAAATAAACTAAATGGTTTTTCGTTCTTTAGGTTAAGATCATTGAAAGGAACATTGTGTAGAAATATATTTACTAAACGTTTTACCATGAGTTTGACAGAATGAAGAAGTTAGGTCAAACTAAAATTATGTGATAGAATTCACTCAACATGGGTTACTTTTTGAAAATCTTTAAATTTCTTCCGTTGCTTATTGGTTATAAACATATAACTCGGGTCTCATTAATGTGTAAGTAAATTAATACCTTTTGTTCTCACTCTATAAATTCTAAGTTGTTTCACATAACCAAATCATCCAAGCATCAAAGTGAAAAGAAGCAAGAAAAAGAAGAAAGAGATCAAGATTGATTAAAGAGATGGAAAACAAAGCAAGAGCTATTGCCTCCTTAGTACTAGTTGTAGTTTTATATGCAACGGGTTTGATTACTCCAGGAGTAGTAGCTCACGAGGAACCACTACAATCAAAATCTCCACCGAGTTCTCCTATCGATTTAGAGAAATGTTGGTCATCTCTCTTCAACGTCCATGGATGCGTACTCGAGCTATGCAAATCAGTTTTCAGTGGAAAGTTTGGAAACGTTGGAATCGCGTGTTGCAAGGCATATTCGACCATTGATGCTAACTGTTGGCCTCATATGTTTCCGTTGAACCCGTTCTTTCCACCTCTTCTTAAAGACAATTGTGCACACATTGTTCCCAACTTGCCCGCACACTAGTGAAATCGAGAAAGAAGTGCGACCATCATTTTAGCTTTAAATTTGTTGAAATTGTTCTATTTATGTTCTATAAGTCTTATTTATGTCAAATCCAATAAAAAATTTTTTATCTTTTAAAATCCATTGAGATTGAGCTAGCTTTTTCCTTGGACATAAAAACTTGAGAAATTGTTAAAAATGCCCCTTTTTCAATACCCCTTTTCAAAAATGCCCCCTTTGAGAGTCCATTTTTAAGTTTGCCCTCTTTTAATTTTTAATGACCATTTTACCCTTATTTGAAACAAAATTAATTCCACAAAATACAAAATATTTTTTGGCGGGAAAAGTGATCCCCCAATTTTCCCGCTAATACACTTGTAAAAACCTTTAAAATACCTTGTAAAATTTTTTCGTAAAATTTTTCCCGCCAAAAATTTTCCCGCCAAAAATTTTTTTTTGCGGGAAAAGTTATTGCGCAATTTTTAAGGCGAATTTTTTTGGCGGGAAATTTTTGGCGGGA